GGGAGAGCTCTCTGTAGTCGGGGTCCTCCCTCACCCTGATCTCGGGCTGAATGGTGACGGTCATGAGGAAGGGGAAGCGGTGTCTGACGGCCCGGTGGACGTTGGCTCTGTGGTGTTTGTCAGTGAAGGATCCCAGGGATAACTCCTGCTGGGTTGGCTTTTCGTCTTTGAGAGTCAACACAAACTGCTCAAGCTCATCGCTGACTGACTGGCCTAAAATCACACCTAAATCAAAGCTGCCTGGACTAGGTGGGGCAACATCTACCTCATAATCAGCTGGGACATCTGTGTCGTGTGAGACAGAGGACTGATTATTATGCCTAAATTCTGCAGCGGTCTCATTGTTTTTATATGAGGAGGCGCCACCTGGGCTCTGTGTTGCTGTAGCTTTATTAACCTGCTGTCCATTGACATCTATCTCAGTCACCACAAAGTCTTTGATAAAGTTTTTGATGCTTCCGAGAAAACCTTCATGGCTTGATATGAAGCATGCAGGGACGTTCACAGCATCACTGTCCTGCTTCATGGTCACTTCATCAGGGCTCCCTCTTTGAGCAGACAGAAATAAGAAATGTTGGGAGGCAAAAAAAAAGCAAATTTATATGTACAGCACAATTCATACACTTGAGGCTAAAGGAGAATGTAAACATGTGTCCAAAATAAGAGACTATCATGGAGAAGATAAACATAAGGTGATAAACTTAACATTACACGGCAGCAGCGAAGAATAGGATTTTAAGCCTGCTCTTAAAAGGTAGTCAGATTTGTGACACAGCTTAAAAAGCAATGTTAATATTCTTAGAAAGATGATAGGTGCTTTATTTCTGCATAAGCATAGGTTATACATGCGAAATAGTCCGTCTATTTACAGTAATATCCGTATCCTACACATTATCCCTGCCTCGACTATGGTGACAGAGAGCTGTACCTGCTTTAACAAAGACAGTAAAGCACATTTCTGTCTTTAAACGGGAATATAAATGTATTATTAAGAAATAATAACTGTTTATTTACTCAACGAACCTGCATGCGGTGTGTAAACCAGAGGCTTTTCATGTAAACACAACCACGCCGACACAATTCAGTCTACTTCCGCGCCATGTGACCGTCATGTGACTTTTCTTAAAGGGACCGACAACAAAGTCAGGAGCGGATTCATTTCTGCAGCCCACACCCCATTGTGATAAACACGTGCAACATGTTGTTACACCTGCTACGTTACACTCACAACTGTAATAAACTCATGGGCTGTTAAGGTTTCTTGTCGGAAGGCAATGAAACAACTACAGAGAATTCCTATTCCTTTTCCATGATTTCTTTTATAAATGTCATTGTAATATGGCAGTCATTCCAAAGACATGGTGTGCTTCCAGAGAAATGAAGAGCAGCACCCCAGTAGGTTGGGGTGGGATTTCCTTGCAGTGGGTTATTCACTGGTACTTTGTGCCCTCCAGTTAATTCTTGCTTTGATACCACACGCAATGAAATGTTCGTTTAACACAATGGTTTAACTTCAGCAGTTCCCAGAAGAAATTAAGACAGGAAACAGTAAATCAATTGTATAGCAACAACTGAAAGTCACAACACACACACACACGTTTGTTATGCATTTTTTATCCAGTTTCTTGGCATTTTGTATGACGAACTATTCAACAAAGAAGCAAGAAGTCTTGATCTCCTCTGTGGGAGTTTTGTGCAACATAAAGGGAATGTACTATTACTTTCTCAAAGATAAAGATATACACTAATAATAAGTGGATTACACTATGCCATTACTTGGCTCCAGGGACTGCCTAAAAGGCAATAGGGCAGTAGGGCAGAGTCAGAAGCATTTCTCGAAATTAAAGGGTCCCTTGCCTGGCTGTTGTTGAAATCTAAGCTTCATTTTAAATTGTAAATCCAGAGTAGTTGCACAACTCCAAATTTTGCAATGATCATATTTATTGCAATATGTTCTTAATACTGGCTGGGAGTTAGGGTCGAGTCAGGGCGATGTCAGAGCAACCTACTCTTCAAACTTTCAAAACTGCTTTTCAGAAACCAAACGGTGATGTAACAGAGTGTACGTCCATCTTGATATACAGTCTATTAATTGTAGTTCTCACATAAAAATCGATGGACTTTCCCCTCAGCCAATGCTGAGGCTTTGAATGATGATCAATATATCAGATATTAAAATGCAAAAGCTGTCATACATTTTCTTTCCTGTGTATCTCTCCAATGTAGCACTTACATATACAGACTTCATGTAAGCAGATACTTAGTATATTCCCACATATCCTCAAGATGTTGCTTTGGTAAATTAAACTGCACAACATTTATCGCTAGAGAGTGGATCTGGTCCAAGCATTTCCGGTAAAGTAAATTTTCTTGGTCTTTTGTTTCAATCCGCCCACCAGCATAATCTGCGCCAAAGAATGCATCAGTGCAGTTATGTCAACCAGATGTGTGAATTTTTGCCAATTTACACATGTGTGTGCCAAAGATGTTGTGGATGTGCACTGGTGAATTTGACTAAAGCAACTGGAAGCATGGGGCACTAAGAAAGCTGCTATGTACTTTATGTGTATATTGATGTCTGCCTGAGAGAGTGATGTGTACAGCATGTTTTCAGGAAGTATATATGTCCTGCAGGACATGCTCTACTCTTGATCTGTTTTGAATGTTCAAAATATTTTGGTAGTTCTCCAGTGACTACTAATGTTACAACAATGTGCATCTGTGTTTGTGTAGGGATATGTGATAGATGGATAGATGGTGAGAGTGTTTGTACTTGTGTGTGGGACCCAGACAAGAAGTCATGTGATGCGGCCTCTCAATCGTTCCTTTGTTTTTCCAAAAAAGGACAAAAAAGTGTGAAGGCAAGTTCTGTCATAGAAATATTCACACACAAATAGGTCTCAAAAAGGAGAGATATCACATTCTTATTTTGCTGTGTTCTTCATGATCAGTCTCTTTCTTCCTTTCCTCTTTCAGGGAATCCGCTGCCTGTTTAATGTTATGTTCCTGTTTATGTCTCCTTGTGTACCAGCTTCCTGCGTGTTGCATCTTGTCATCTGCTACTGCCAACTCGTCTGCCTGTTTATCCACCTCTAAGCCTGTTTATTCATATTAAAGTAATTTCACCCGTCATGAACTTCATCAACCAAACTGTAATACCCTTTCTGAGAGTACACTCCCAAATTTTTTTGATGAAGTCAGCACAATGAACTAATAAAGCTTGTCTGAATAGATCTTTTTCTGGTTAATTCAGAAAAACACTTGTGAGGTGTGCATGTTCCTTCAGGGGCATATTGACTGGGCCCTCTTTATCGTCACTTCTTGCATCCAGATATAAAAAGAATGTGTCTGAGATGTAGATTCCTCAAAAACATGCTCTGTCTTTGGTCTCCACAACTCATTAAATCTGTTTTCTGCTGTGTTCATCGCAGTGGTCAGTACCTACCAATAGTGATCAAAAGACGGACAACCTAAGAACTGGCGACAGGCTCATTGATGTACGTGGAGAGCCGACTGGCCCATGTGGTCCAATCCCACAGACGTACGACTGTAACACTAACTGAGCAGAAAAATGAGTGCTGGCTATGATGGAAAGCTGCAACTTACCAGATTCAAAAGACATGCTGCTAATGTCTTGGTGCTTGATGCCAAAGGACCCTTTCAGAGGTCTTGTGGAGTCCATGCCTCAACAGGTCAGAGCTGTTTTGGCGGCATGAGTGGGACTTACACAATATTTGGCAGGTGGTTTTAATGGATGCATGACTTTAAACCCCATCTTAGGCCTCCTTCTATATTGTATATTCAATATTAGTCAGTGCCAAAAAGACCATGATCACATTTTCTATTACAGCGTGTGTTGATGAGGAGCTGGGTTGTATTTATTTGCTGTCCCCGAATAAACATTTCTGCTCCAGCTGATGATCACCTGTAATCAAATCACCCTACACATTTTAGCATGTGAGTGAATGAGATCACACATATACCCTCTATATTTGATCTATGAATTCTTCTGAACAATAGGCCTCATTCACCAACCACTCTTAAGAAGAAATTCCTTCTTAAAACCCACTTACGCACTTTTTAGAAAGATTCTGATATTCACCAATTTTTTCTTAGTTGGGATTTGTTCTTAGGTAAGAACAGAATCTAAGCACACTCAAGAGCACTGCTACGCACATTTGAGTGCTGACATGTTTGAACACAATAAGTGGTTATTGCGTTTTCTACGGTTCTACAGTAATATTATAGGCCTATTATATTATTTAAATTACAATAATATTTTTGTCATTAAAATATATTTTTTAAAATAACTTTTGTTATTTTACAAAGCATTATGGTCTTTTGAAATAAATGAACGCTACATTAATACTTAACGCTCTTTTCCGGCTCACTTCCTGCAGCAGTACCTTCACTGCGTTTTGATTCCGGTGCTCCATCTTTAGATTTTCGTATCTCTTTGTGGCTTCTTTCTGTGTCTGCACACGACCCTTCAGTCTCATGCCCCTTTACGGGCATTTTCGGGCGTTTACCTATGCTAATTGGGGCCAACTGGCACACGCTTTCAATTTACGAGGAGATTGGCACTCATTAATCTAAGAAAACAGATGCGCACAATTCTGCAGTTTTAGAACACGTTCATGAACCTGACGTAGAACTTTCTTAAGAACTTAAGAAAGAATTTAAGAAAATATTTAAGAAGATATTGGTGAATGAGGCCTACTGTCTTTATAACATCATCATTTACATAAATGCCTACAGTGTGAGCACACCGAGCAGCTGATTCCAGGCTCCAGACCAGAGCCCTCAAAGCAGAAATAAACAGTTTGGATCACCTTTTCTTCCGTTGAACAATGTGTAAAGATAAACTGTATCTGTGCAAATGTTCCCCAAAGTTCTGTTCATTATTTCCTCACTTCTCCAACTCCACACACGCATACACAGTCCCCTCTCTCCAAAAGGGGAGGGGCTTTCCCAGAAGAACGTGGGGATTCCTTCCGCTTTATCTGTTTATAAATATCAACAAGACATGAAGCCTCCCAAGGATTATCTCTCTCTCTTTCTCTCTCTCTGTAGGACGTGGATATCTTTTATAAGAAAGCTTCAAACGCCATTAAATATACTGATCGCGAATTCAAGAGAAACAAAATGGGGAAAGTGAACGTCTATTTGAAACGGAGTTACATTGCTGTGGCCAGTTTGATCGGTGTAAGTAGATATTTCTCTTTTAACAAGAAATGAAAGCCCTCTGTTGATAACAATTTGAAATTGTCATGTGACGTAAGAGGAATTTATATGTGTAGGTAGTGTACTCAATATTATAAGCAGAGGTGGACAGAGTGCACGACTCCATTTGAAAGTATAATACAAGTGAAAGTTGTTCAAATTTTTTTACTTGAGTTAAAGTACAGGCGTAGGCTGCTTACTTTTTAGAAATTTTAAAAAAAGTATTCAATTTTTTTAATGTCATCACATTGTTGCATTGCTCCACTTTCTAATTTACAGAACCGAATGACTCTGTAACAACCTACTGAATGTACTTGACTGACTTGTAGAATAAAAGGCTTGTAGAATATCCTATAGAAATGATCATAAAAACACAATTGAATCAACAAAAGGACCAACACAACTACAATAAGCTGTCTGCTTATCTGGAATTAAACAAATGTTAAATACCTTGACATGCTTCCTCAAACTGGAGGCTAATTTTTGTAAGCAGTTTTGAAGTTTGGTCACAATAAACACAGCAAACATTTTAAATGAAAGGAATCTTTCTTTATTTCTGAAATTTCAAACATGGACTTAACTTTACTCAAGTAAAGATAGTTGAAAAATGTACTCAAGTACCGTCCTATAGTAAATGTACTTCGTTACTGTCCACCCCTGATTATAAGATGCCATTACACAAATTACACTTTATTGTAATGTCCTATGTATAATGTTTCCAAGTTGCTTGTTTTGTCTGGATAACAGTGAAAAATCCCAAGATATTCAGTTTACTGTCACACAAGACAAAGAAAAGCAGGAAATCCTCGAAACTGAGAAGCTTGAATTAAAATGTTTGAATCAGAATAGTTGCAGATGAATTTCTGCTGATGTTAAATAATGCAGTGTGTCGCTTCTGTTGCAGATTATCGGTGCTCTAATGTTGGCATACACTCTGTTCACCCACGGACATTTATACAGAGATGACTATGAGGTAATATTTATCAGTCTATCTTCCAGCTCAAATTGTTTTTTTTCCTATCGAAAGTTTTTATTCTCACAGTATTTTCCTCAACAATACCACACAACTAAACACATTTAGCACTAAAAATATGAGTTAAAGTCCAACTATGAATCCACTTTGATCCTTTTATAAGTTGGTGCAAAATATAGTATTCCAATTCACCAGATAGGGTGATAAGGTATAGCTCCAACTAGTCATCATTTCCTCAGTAAAAGTACTGGAATAATACTGCTTTCTGTATGGTTGATGTATGTCTAAACTGACCTCGACATTTCCAGTGATCCAGTTACAATGAAACTGCAGGAACTATAGACAGCAATTGAGACATATCAGTAGCATGCATGCTGACACTGGGCATCGAACTTTTTCAGTGTTCACTGAGCCCGTTGACCTGGTTCTCTCTCAATTTTCTCCACAGATAGAACCAACCATTTATGGCTTGTATGGTTTTTCCATTGCAACTCTGCTCCTGGCCATAACTGGTTTGTTTGGTGCCTGCAAAAAGAAGAAATGGGCGCTGATATTGGTGGGTAAATAAAAAAACTAAATTTGTTTGGTAGTAGTAGTGAACAATTATGATCTACAACAAACCCCTTCACCTTTTCCCATGATGAAATTGCTCATACGTGTATATATATATATGTGTGTGTGTGTGTGTGTGTGTGTGTGTGTGTATGTGTGTGTGTGTCTCAGTTTGCAGTTGGAATGATCCTGAGCAGCCTGTACACAATTACGCCTGCTGTCATAATTGGACTGTTTAGGAAACCTCAGGTATTACAAAGCTGACTTTAAAATGTGTTGTGTTGTCCATTCTTGTATGGTGGCTTACAATTTTAATGGTGGCAGATTAGCTACCACTTGAAATTCACGTTAGTTTTTCAAACAGTGGGTTATTGATTTCACACCAAAGTAAACAAAATAGGCTTCCCATTTCTAGCTGCTTATGTTGGATTTTCGAGGCTGAAATGACCATTGCTAGCTGATTTGATCAGCTGTAGCTAGCTATCGTAAGCAGATGCTAATTCTACAAACTCTGTGAGCTGGTTGAACGCTCAATCTGTGTTTTTAATGTTTCCAGCAGGTTCATTTTAAAATAAAAAGCCTGTGAAAGGGTTTAAATGTGCACATAGTGGCTAAAGTTGCTCTTCCCTATCAAAAAGTCAGCATCGATTCATAAAGGTGGAAATCCCACATAATACAAAATGGCTCAGCCTGTGGATATAACACTAAGTTACTATAGTAGGAAGTAAGTTAGCTAGCTGATCCTGTGAATAACACTAGGTTGCTATAGTAGGTAGTATGTTAGCTAGCTGGGTATGCTAATGTTTGCAATTTACATTATGGCTCATAAACATACAATTTAATCCATTCCTTCTGTTCTAGTGTTTTTGGTTTTGAAAAGGTAACCCAAAAAAAACACCCTCCTACAAACTCAACTACCTTTAATAAAAAGTACTTATTTTAATTAACAGAATATGTCAGAGGAATCAGGAATCTTGATGAACCTACATATCTGTATGTGTTTTTGAGATAAATTAAGCGAGTTGCATAAATTTCAGTCAGATGAGCCACAAATATTCAAACAGAAACCTCACAGATACCTTCCAGATTTAGATTTAAATCACTGTAAACCTATTCCAGCAAAATCATGGCTGCTGGTGATTTTAGGTTTGGCCGAATACATTTTATCAATCACAAAAAAAAGCATACATTAACATTTTCAAATAGTTTTTTATTCCTTGTAATTTTATATAACTTTTTTTTTGTTTGTGCAGGTGGTTAAAGAACTGAAGGAGATGTTCGAAGGTGGGGAACATTCGGGTCTTTTAAACGATGTTCATAGAGCCCACCTCAACAACACACAGATGGAAGTAGGTAACAATAGACCTCATACAAATACTGGTCATACAGATTTGTTCTTAAGTGGGATGAGAATTTGTGGCTGCAATGAGTTGCCTCAGGGTGTTTATGCAGATCACTATCTAGTATCATCACCTAGGCTGTTATATAATGTAGTCTAACATCTCATTGACTTGTTGTCCCTTTGACCACCTCGCACATTAGTCATGGACTGTTTTGCTGCCGAAATATGTTTTTACCAGTGAACTTCATGTTGCCGTAACCACGTTGTGGTTTCCCTTTCCCCTATTTGTTTCCGCCCACAGTACAGTGGAAATCTGATGACATATCATCGACTGATGTTTGAGTCACATTTTCTAATAATTTTGGGTCCTCTAATTTGACTAATGTCTTTGCTAAATTTGTTATGTTTTTGTTCAATGATAAGCTTGTGCAGTAGAAAAAGAAAGAAAGTTTGGTCAAATCTGACTTGAAACATGTACAAACAAATGTCCTAGTTCAATCTTATTTTTATGGAGCACAATCTCATAGAGAAGCAGATGAATATGCTTGTAGAGGATCAATACAAAATGATCAACTTTATTACGCTGTTACCACATATCATGAAATGTCTTGCAGCTGATGAGACAAGATGAAGTTGTAGTGCATGGTAATCATCAGATCTGCCAAAAACGATGGCTCGGACAAGCCGTTTCTTAAGGCCCTGCTTTCCTGAAAGAGGATTCAAACAGAACGCACAGCCTCCTGGCACAAATGCACATAGGTGTGACAAACAAATTCCTCAGTAGCACAAACCTGACACAGTTCAGTAAATTTAACTGAGTAGATTGTTAGTAGGAGGAATCTGGAGATGGGGTCGGGATTTTGCAGTTACAAAATCTCTTTACACATTTTAATTTCCTCCTCTGTCTCAGTTGCAGTGTTGTGGACTGAGTCAGGGCTACAAGGAGTGGGGCAACGACATCCCTGAATCTTGCATATGTACTGAAGCGTCCACTAATCCATGTGTGAGTGTGAAAGCAATTTCTGTACCAAGCTTACATGGCTAATAGACTCTTATCTTGCTGTTGCATCACCTGTCAGCATTCGGCTAATGATTCATGTCTGTGTATTCCAGGTGGCAGTTCCTATAGACAGCCTACACTCTAAGGACAAGATTGATGACCAGCCCGTCATGGTTTATAAAGAGGTAACAACAACATTACAGTTAAAAATGTTTGTTTATATATTTACAGGTTGATGTGAAAACTGCATTACAACTGTAATGGAGGCATTTAAACTCGGTGAATATAGTATGTGTACATAAAACAACAGTTGTTTAATTCAGAAGATAGTTATTTTTTATTCTCCTTTTTGCAGTTTGCAGCTCACATCAATCCGAAAACTAGGAGCAGAAAACAGATCATCTCTGCATGGGGCTGTATTTTCAAAGCCTACTAATACTAAGGGAAGGTCATAATAGAACAGTGCAACACAGTAGTTTCCAGACTTTATAGGTTTGTGACAAATTAAAAGGAAGAAGGATTTTTTAATGTTTTATTTTTCATATTCTAAAACATAAGGAATATCCTCTCCTGCCTGAACTCTTATTAGATGGAACTACAAGTTTGTTTCATAGAACATATGAAAAGTTACACTGATGGATTCACTCTCTCTCTTTCAGCCATGCCTTCCATACTTGATTGATAGATACGTTTTCCTCCTGAATGTGACTTCGGGCGTGTTGCTGGGACTCACATTACTCTCGGTATGTACTGTCAACCTCTCTGTCTCTGTCATGAATGTACCCACCCACTTTCCCATGTCCATTTCACTTTTACAGTTTCTGGCTGATTTTCAAAACCTGTCTGATCATTGCTCTCTTGACTACCCAGCTGCCAAAATCCAGTATTGGGCAGATAAAATACGTATACACTCATCTGAGTCATCTCCAGTCAGCACTGTGTTGCTCAGGACAGTAAGCTTAAGAAACAGCAGCAAGTGGACTTTTTTTTTTGTCCAGGATTTCACCTCCTCGGGTGGGAAACGCGCTGCGAGATCTTGCTTGTGAAGGTTGTCAGATTTGTAATCTGCAGTTCATAGTCTCATAAACAAAGACTATACAGAGCAGTGCTCTCTTTGTTGTAAACATGCAAATACATTATCTTTTATACAGTACTATTGGGAAAATAAAATAATCTTTTTTTAAGCCTTTTTGACTTGTGAGAGTAGGGAAAGTGCAGGTGTTGTTAAGGATATTAATGATGGCTCTGTATTTAAATGGAATTCAGCCATTTTTTATCTTAACTTGTTGTCATTAAAACCTGTCACCATGTGTGAAGTAAAGCCTATATCTCACTCTGTCTTTCTGCTTTGCCTTTTCTGCCCCCCTCAGTCTCTTTCTGAAATTGCAGCTCTATTCAAAGCAACACATTGGCATATGATGAAACAACAAAAGATGAGTAGGAACTAAAGACCCACCTCTGTTTCTCTGTCCTTTTAGGTTTTGTCAGTAGTGCTGAGTATTATCATCTTGTGTCAGCTGAACAAGAAGGAAGATTCCCCTGCAGTGGTCTACAGTGCAAAGGCAAAAGCGGGCAACTACACCACTCTTACAGAGTTAATCTGATTTCATTTTTTTTTCTTTGTGGCTGCTCTTTACATTGGTGAATATCATCATGTCAGCAAGTGAGAAAAAACAGTGGGAACAATGGGATTTTTACAAGTGTATATATGTTGCTTGAATATCCAAATGTATTTGTTGCTCGGTTTTCTGTCTCTTTAAAACTTAGACCCTTTATTAATTTTACTCCTGCCTGAATATGCGTGTTTTTGAAATTGGAGACTCTGAAAATAGCAAGAAACTGTTAAAAAGCATTCCCTTTTCATTGTGATAATCAAAAAAGATGATGAAAACTGAGATACATAAGCTACACATTAGCTCTGAATCCAGTTACAGAATAATGGAAAGAGATAGTTCAGATAGTTGGTATTTTCATCCCAGATTGAAATCGTAATTTTGCACATTTGATTGAAGATATAAGCCCTCAGCACAGCAAACATACAGCAAAATTAGACATTTTGTACGATATGTAAATAGAGTAAAACATTAATGTGAGATGATTGAAGACTGTGTGCGTTTAGGAAAGAAGCACTGATGAAGACATGAATGCAGAAACGTGAATGTATTACAACTTGAGTGAGAATAACTGTATTTTAAAGTTTTATATCTTTTTCTGTATTATATTGTGCCAGATTTTATGTAAACTTTGTTGTTTTCAGTTTTTCTAAATTTTCGGTGTCATTTTAATTAAAGAAACTGTTTGAGTACGTGGGGTAGTTTTAAAGTCGACGTATATTCATATTTTGACATTAATAATTTCATTTCTGATAGGGTGGGATACTTGCACACTGTCCAACCCAGCTGTCATGACATTGTAGATGTTGAAATGTCCCATTTTTTTTTGAGCACTTAAAGGACTTCTCTTTCATTAAGGCTTAAAAGCGAAGGTTCAGAGTTCATTCTGGACTTCAGAAACTGCAACTGACAAAATAATCTCACCTCAACGACTTTAATAACTGTTCTGGAACTTTTGAATAATTAAATTCACAGCTAATTCACACTTTTTTGTGGTTTCCTTAAGGGGCTGGATAAAAAGGATTTGGGAGCACAGTGGAACCTTATGGTCAAGTTTAAAAAAAAACAAAAAAAAACAGCAGTTAAAATTTCTTGAGTATGGTTGGTAGATAGCTAGGTTGTCATTAAAACATCTCATCGTGTCTATGTCAAGATCTCTCTCACTTCATTTGCCTTGCCTTTTCTGCCCCCCTCAGTCTCTTTCTAAAATTGCAGCTCTATTCAAAACTATGTATTGGCATCGGATGACGAAACAAAAGATGAGTAGGAAGTAAAAAGACCCATCTCTGTTTCTCTGTCCTTTAGGTTTTGTAATTGTAGTAATTGTAGTATTTTCATCTTGTGTGGGTTGAATCAGAAGGAAGATACCCCTGCAGTGGGCTACAGCGCAGAGGCAAAAGCAGGCAACTACATCACAACTCTTGCAGAGCCGGCAGAGTTCACTTGATTTCATTGTTTTTGTTTTTCATAATGTCAGCATAAAAACATCGGAAACAACGGCAAATATACAAGGTCACATGGTGTATTTATGATGCCTGAATATACCAGAAGTTGCCTACAACATGTAAATATGTAGATATGATTTTAACCTGATTATATTTACACATGGTAATTAACATGTGTCTGCAGTGTCCACATTGAGATCCGATCACTCTGTCCAAGCTCAGTTCCAAGCTCCTCTCATTTGTGCGGGTCAAAAAAACCGAACTGTATGTAAAGTAATTCAAAGTAGCCCCACCTCAACCAGCTACAAGAGTAAAATACTGCTTTCACATTGTTTCATCAGAGAATACTTCTGTACTTTTACTTACATGGAATTAATAGTTTGTGTTTTTTTTTTGTATTTTTATTTAAGTAAAGGATGTATGGACTTCTTCCACCACTGAGTTCTTGTTTTGCAGGCAGAAGGCCCCATTTCTGTTATTAGATATTATATTACTGGATTAGTATTACTGAGGCATTCATGTGTAAGCGGGACTTGTTGGTCAAGGTGGGATGTCTAAAGTAGCCTAAGATGGAAACATTTTACTCAACTACAGCACTTCAGTGAGTTTTTAAACTAAGAAATGATTTGATTTCAAAATAAAAGCTAAGACATCAAAGGAACAAGAATCACATAGTTTATTCCTGCTATTTACAAAATATCACATAACTTCATTCCATAAAAAGAAAAAACGGTGTATGACAGAACTAAAAATACCATACATTTAAGAACATATTAGAACATATATATTAGGCATTAATGGTTAAAGTGCACAGGTAGACATTGGATCTGCTGTTTCAGACGAAATTCATTTTGACAATACATTAGTCGAGGAGACATTTCAACTGCGGGCAGCTCATGCAGCAAGTCGTATATGGAGCGATGTGGCATAAAGGCCTCTTCGGTGAGAGCGGCATCAGTTGCGAAAGTACAATCTCTGTAAGAATATTGATGACACATCTTCCTACAGGAGCCTCTCACAGCCTGTCTGCGGTGGCCTTGCCAAAATTTCTCCAAACCTTGAAATCAAATTTTGGAGGCAAAAAAAAATAATTGAGGATTTACTGGCATGTCTACTGAACGTGCAACCAAACAGAATCCCCTCTCCTCCTAATGGACACGATCACATATCTTTTACTCGCTACGTGTGCTTTAAGAAAAACTGAACGAGGTGATGAAGTTACAAATATACAATGTGCATAACAAGGCATCAAGACATTCTGGTATCCTAATGAGATCTTTGACTCATTCTTTTGTCTAACCTGATTATTTATCCAAGAAAATCATTGCTCAATAATAAATAAATCATTATATTTCAATCAAAGCACTTTGTAAACTCCGTTTAAGAAAGATGCTACATAAGGATTATTAATATTATTACTTATTCAAAGATTATTGGTTGCTTTAGTGCTGAAAATTCAACATGTGTGCTTAAGACAAGTACAAATATATGTATGTTTGAAAGACATTGGTCCAGTTGACAACCAAAAATGGGTTTTGTGCATGTGTTTGAGATTGTTACGGACGGTAGACGTCATTGGATTATAATCTGCCTTTACGAACTCACTGATGCGTCCGAGTGTGAAGGCAATGGAGATAAATAATGTCAGAATATTATCCGGATACGACGACACTTACTGTAGATAACAGAATGCAGAGAAAAACAGATGGCTGATTAAAGCTCGGTAAGATATTCAGAATCTAAGGGCTAGGCCAAAAGGCGAGTGAAAATGTGATGATTACTAAAGATAAAGCTCATTTCATTAAACTGCATCGTTCAGTCATTTGAAATTGATCTATGCATGTCGATTACTGTTCAACATCAGTTACATGCATTAACACTTAGAAAATAATGATAATATATAATAATGATAATAATAATAATAATAATAATAATAATAAATATAATAATAATAATTTAACATATGTTGCTACAGCACAAATTAGCCAGGTTATGTTATACAGCCTAATGTGTTTACATGTGCAAATTCAAACAAGGTACGCTTGATAATAATTTATGTATGTATTAAATGTACTAGGTTACTAGAAGGCACCAGGAACATATCTGTTTGATTGTAGAAGAGCCATGAACTCCTGTTTTCGTCTTATCTGGCCCATCAGCTTGATGCTCATGACAAGTAAAACCATCTGGGGAGGGAAGCACAGGTCAGATCGAGGCACATAATATAACATACCTGGTGACTGTCATTTTAAAGTAGGGCACAAGCAAACATATAAATGAAACACACATACCCAAAACACTCCACTTCCGAACTGTATACCCATCGCCAACGAGAATGCAAGCTTTAGTTCGGAGACATAAATCGGTAGGCAGGGCTGTGGGGGGGGCAGTGCAGGTTTCAAGGTGGTGGCAAAAGTAGTTACAGTGTGAATGAAGCAATAAAATCTGCGAGAAGCTAAGAGGTTACTGCTCCAGCAAGCCTCTCTATTTTTTTTCTAAAAGAAATCTCAATTACAATTTTTTTTTTTTTTTTTTTACCTCTTGATAAACGTACTGGTTCTTCGGAGCCCCAAGTGTGGCGCTGCCCCGTAGTCGAATCTGGTGAGGAGAACAAAATCCCATTACATAATATGACAAAAATAGAGTTCAGTCAATACTGGTGGGAGCTGGGTGCAACATAAATAGTATGAGGATAAATTAACATTTAAAGGAATAAAAAAGTTCCTTTGATATCATGGGTTTTCATTTTCATAGATGTGGTCATCGTTCCTCTCGGTCGTGGAGACATTTCAGTTCCCAAAAGACAATGTGTGAGTGCAGGACCAGGAATCGTGATGAGTCATCTTCACTGCTTATACTCTGCTTATATAAAGGGAGATACTCACGCATTTTCCCGGATACTGACAGTTGCAGGAAGCAGGGATGAAAGAGCCCCAGTCTTTGTAGCCTTCGATAAGACCACAGCACTCAAACTGGAGGTGAGACACACACACACACACAGACACACACACAGACACACACACACATACACACACACAGGCCAAATAAAAAGTAAATCCAAAACAAATAAACCTGAACAAAATGCATAACACAATATCATACCCAACAAGCACGTAAACATGTCCGCACCCATGAATGATGCATCCTTTCTTTGGATTCCTTTCATTTGCACAGGTTCTCCCACAGCGGGGCGATATACCTTTTAAGATAAGACACACCTGCTTGCCCGGCCACACCCTCAAGACTATATATGCTGCAGGTGTGGCTTCATTCAGGTTTGATTGCCACCTGAGTGTTGAGTGCGATGTGTGTGTGTGTGTGTGTCTGTGTTGGAGGTTTCAGCTTTTAGTAAAATCCAACAAGTGTGTGTATGTGTGGAGGAGCTGGGTGCCCGTCTTCTTCGAGCAGCCTGTTATCCCTCTGTCTTTTCAGGCAGTCTTCCATCTTACAGCAAGTGTGGGAGCTAGCATCTCTCTGTCTCATGAGGCCAAGACGGTAACCCTAAGCTAGCAGTAGCCTGCTTACGGGAGAGACGCGAGGGCTGAGCAGCTCTTTTTCTGAGTCATAACTCAGTCATATATTTTCAGACTCCAGATCAAATACATGTCCGTAAATCTGAGTAGAAATCAAAGAAAAAGACTCATCTCAAACTTGCCTGAGAATCATCACGTTTTTAAGTTTTCTTCAGCATCAAAATGCTCCAGTGATAGTTGTCTGTACACACATGGGTTCACTACAAACTGCAGCTGCTAATGGCTAATTCGGCATCATTTTAACAAACTTAAACAAATATATGCCTTAAAAAAAACATGGCTCAAGATGTAGGCTGCAGCTAACTGACTCCATTGTAACATTATACTTCCTGTTCGACCCCCCCCAAAGCATTGTGGGAATTGTAGTTCCAAAACTTTGAGCAAACCCAAATCCAAAAATCCAAACCCAATGTGCATCAAGTTGAAAAAACAAACAGTAGCTGCTTACCTCTTCTTGAATGCTGTACAGCAGGGTCCTGTTGGCTTTGCTCGTGCCACTGAGTGGCATCATGGACAGCAACTTTGCCTCCTCACGGACGACACGTTTCTGAGGAGGGAGAAAGCGCACTGAACGCTGTTCTTTGCATATCAAGTCGTACTGTCATCAAACCTGCTGTTTAAATAGCTGTATTAATTAAAAATCATATCAGGATTAGCTTGTAAAAGCGGGGGTATTCAAGTACCGTACCTCATAGACATCTTGGTAACTCAGTGCTGTTCTGACAATTATTGTTTGACTGGCTGCGGCCATCCCAGTTGCATACTGTGCGCACACACACACACACACACACACACACAAATCAGCAACACTCATTGAAAGAGGAGCATCATTTGCAGAAACCACTTTTGAACACATACACACACTGTCCTATACAGGTTAAAATAAAATCTTAAAATTATAAGAGTTGTAAAAATTGTGTACATGCACACACACACTGTAGTACAAAAGACACAGAGCAGGTTTTTTTTACCAGAATCAAACACCATCTCTTTCCTTTACAGGCTCCAAATATGCCAAGCACTGACAGCAGCAGGCAGCCGATCTCTATGACATACATTAACACTACAGAAACACTGGACACCAGCTGTGGAGAAAAATAAGATAAGTGTTAAAGGGATCTTGTGTTTTGCTTTTGGCCAATACATAAAACAATAACTGTTTATCTGGGTAATACATTTTTTTTAAAAATCTAAGATTAAAGGATCCATGTAAGAAGTAAAGCTCATCTGAGATATTCACTTACACTTAATATTAATATAATTTTGTTGTCACAGCAAGGATAGCATGGCTACAAAAGAGGTCAAAGGTCAGGGTAAGCTACAGAACGGTACCCTTAGCGTGTGAAGATAATTCACTGTCTTGCCCAAGGACACTTCAACAGGCAGATGCTTGTTATTATGAGGGCTTGAACTCAGCTCTTCCAGAGAAAAGACAATATATGTGTGTGTATATATATATATATATATAAAAATTAAAAAAAAAGCAGCTGCTGAAAAGTGTTCAGGCACTATTGATGGAAGCCCGAGCAGGCCCATGCATTAATAATTCCGCAGCTGTACTTGGATATCCCAGCAACTCCTTTGCTCCTTATTAAAGTCTGACAAGACAAGGTTATTTCTGGCTCCAGTAAATAATATTATATTATTTTCATCCAGTCAGAAAAACATGAGAAATCAGTCTTACTTTGCCAGTTTGTATGAGGTCTCTGTGCCAAGTTATTGTCATTGTCAGCATGAAGAAGCACAGCGCCTTTTTAGTGGAGAAAGAAATTTGTTTAGACATGAAAGTGTTTCAGGATATACAGACAGTGGTGGGAAATACATATGACCATCTCTAAATTCTTAACCAATCAATAGGTGTTATTTCGTCAGCCCTTTCAGGAAAAGTATCACCCCATATGTTTTTTAAAAGTGCTGCCTTTTGGTGAACTCGGAGGTGTCACCTCTGAGGAGCAGCACTTCATTTAAAGAGCAGATGGAAGACAGCAGCACTCAGCCATCCAGGATACCTTCACAGGGCAGTAGTATCACAACCACAACTAGGCCTATACTGCATATGACTCCACACTCACAGCTGAGACAACACAAACACACTGTAAACATTAGCATCATGACAATAATATAGATACTGTCTGGATGGTGAGGTCAGTTTGGGATGGAAAAAAATGATGGTTATTCTTTGGAAATACAAATTATAACCATCCCTATGGCGTCTTTTTATTGCAGCTACCAGTGATTTTTCTTTCTCATCACTTTTTTTGTGTGTATCTCCTTTAAGATGTGCTGCAGATATTGCAACGTTGTAGGCTACATACATTACATTTTGATTGGGGGGGGTTTCGCTGCAGCATCTCCCTGAGACAGACGTATTGTAGAGCACGAGTCTTGTTTAGGTTAATTATAGACTGACTGATGATTTTAGGTCAAATAACGGCAATAATTCAAACATACAATAAGAGAAACGGGCCATATAAGGCGATCAAATAGGCCTCTTATCTTGAAGTGCATTCGAAAGCAGTGGTGTTTACCTACCATATGCACAGCATTGGTGAAAATAAACGGCCTTTTCAGGGTCGTTTTCTCCGCCACCACGACCACTGCGCTCCGCTGCATGCTGCTGCGTCTCTCCGGGGCGTAGAAGCAACCTTTCATAAAGCAAATATTTCGGCGACCACAGACCTGTGATGTTAACAGTAAAGGGCACCTATGAATCCGCACCGGACGTCACTGTGATGTGCTGTGGATGAGGGGTCTGTGCCGCCTTCAGGTGCCGTCGGAAATAGTGGAATCCAGAGGATTAGCGAACAGGAAACGGCTGTGATTAAACGAGTTCATTCCAGACTGATTGGTGTAATGGTTGCGAGCATTACGACCACTTAAATCGTATATAAATATACCTTTTTTTTTTTTTTTTTTAAATATTTGGATTTCTTAAGTTTTTATTTTTTCATGTAACTGCTGAATGAAGAGCAAAAATCACACTGTACAACATGAAGGTGTAAATACTGTTTCACCTTCTTGTTAGTTGTTATAAAAGAAGTCGAATGTCGATGTTGAATCTAAAAATACTCGAATCATCTCATTCAAAAACTGCAGAGATCTGCAGAACTATCATATTTACAGTGGTGAAATGTAACTAAATACACAATACTCAAGTGCTGTACTTTACTGATTATATTTTATATTATATTGTACTTTATACTTGTAAATTACTTTGCAGGTCCAAATAAAATATTATAATGTATTATTATAGATTGAATTACCCAACAAATACTAAGTAGTTAATATTAGCCCCACCTTTACCATTAACTATATGCTTTCATATTAATGCATAAATGCACAAAATCAATAATTAATGTATATATTTTTCTGAACTGGCCATTCTGCTTAATGCATACTTTTACTTTTGTACTTTAAGTAGGCTATATTTTGATAGTAATATATCTGTACTTTTACTTTTAAATGAGTATTTCTAGACTGTGGTATCTGAATTCTTCTTACACAAAAAAGGGAAAAATGGAGCACATGACCTCACTGTCCTAATACAGCCTGTAATAGGAAGCTAGTCTTCATGCTGGCTTCCTCATTTTATTCAGCTCTTGAATAAACTAGGAAGCTACTCTTTCCAACTGCCGCCTATCAATTTGAAGCCTCAGTTATGTTGTGTCTGTGTCATAAATCATAATCCACCAACCCTTGCTATTTTTAATCTCCATGTGTCCATGCTAACAGCGCAGTTAGGATTCTAAAGCTTCAAAAGATCCTAAATGCGTCTGCGCTCTTCACTGTACAGGACACAGACAGGAGTAGCTATGAACTGTGGCTATTTGAACAGTGCATGGTGCTAAAACTAAGTCATTAGCATGAGATAAATAAAACATCAATAATATATTTTGGTCTATTTGTCTAGAACAGATTTACAATTTCATTCAACCACAAATGAAGAACACACTATTTATTGTGTGGAAAAATGACATTTCCCACTCTCATAGGAAAACAAAGAACATATATCCATGTTAACAGTCTTTATTTGACCTATGTTATAGACGAGCTGCTGTAACTCTGAAAGCACAAATGTACTAATGGGAAATATGGCAAATATAGAAACTGTTTATTCATTTCTTTTTAATTCATTCATTAAAAGAATAAAACAAAACATGTTTAAAACAGCCATAAGAATTCACTGCACCTGTAACTTGAACTGTAAACTGCCCTGCATGAAATATCACCTGAATAAGTTCATGCTGAATATTTATGGCTCTACCACTTTATTTGAAAAGATTGTCATGTACTTTGTTGTAGTTAGTAAATTTGGGAATATTAAACAGGAAACAGAGTTCCTGTCAAAAATGACTGCATTTCCCAAGATCCAACTGTGGTAATGGGGCTGGGCTACTTTCCTAGGACAGGTAGGGCGGGTTTCTATTGTTACCACAGGTGCTGTGAGGCTGTAAGTCAGAAAGAACAGGAAAAACTGATGAGAGAAGGACACAAAGAGAGCGAGGAGGAAGGAGAAGCCAGTGGAGACACGTGAGAAAGATCAGCAGGTGGATTGGACAGCAAACCTGATTACAGACAAGCACTTTTTTTTTTAAATCCTATTTTATCTAAAGGAAGTTCCCTTTTTTTTGACAGATAACTAACCAGAACCTGGGCAGGAGGACAAAAAGGATGTATTCATGCTTTCTTTTGCTGCAGGTCATAAAGTGGGTCAACACCTGAGAAGGAGCTGAAAGGAGCAGCAGAACTGAGACAGTTTTGTCCTTCTGAACGAGCACTGAAAGAGGGGACGGACAGGCTGAACTGGCTGGAGACATTAGACGGACAGAATGCTGAGTTATAAAGAAAAAGGTTTATTAGCTTTTATTTAGAGGATACCGGAGAGGTAAATGGTTTCTAACCTGTGAACAGCACCATTTTTACATCTTGACAAACAAACGTAAACTGGTTTCACAGGCTACATGTGGACTAATTCAACTAAACTGACCCTGCTGCTGGAAAAACAGCCTGCTAACCGTCTGTAGCTTTCACTGGAAGCAGTGGGAGTTCACATACTTTCTTTCCTATGACCCAGCATTTTAAATTCTTATTCAAGCATAAAGATAACCCAGAAAGTATAGGGAGGATCATTTCCTCCACTCTCACACATCCAGAGAAAGAGACGCATTACTCCACTGCAACTCCACCATGCAGACCCCAGGACCCGAGCACGATGACTCTTTTGATTTCCTGTTTAAGATCATCCTGATCGGAGACTCTAACGTGGGGAAGACCTGTGTGGTTCAGAATTTCAAGTCAGGGATTTTTGCAGAGAGGCAGCAGAACACCATCGGAGTGGACTTTACTGTACGAACCCTGGACATCGAGGGCAAGAAAGTGAAGGTTAGTGCTGTGTGTGCAGTGGACATGAAAACATATGTGCACCTGGAGTCTTGTAGATCAGCACCCCAACAAAACACCCGTACACAAGCCTTTTTTCAACAAGCAGCCATAGTAGGGAGTAGATTCAGAATTTCTTCATCAAAACGCAGTAAATGCTGTCGTCACTGCAGCTATGAACAGCTTTAACAAGAGTGTCAGAACTCATGGGGCCTTCCAGCATGTGACTACAGGTTGCAGTAAAGGTTTGGCATTAGAGATGGATAAAGGACTACAGTAAGTCAGTGATGCACATAATCTTCAGGTCTTAAAAGAGCCTCGAAAAACATTGACATCAGTGACCTCAAAAATGCCTTAGATGGTTTAAAAAAAAGTCTGAATTATAAAGGTTGTTATTATAAGGGCTGTCAGGACACGTTACGCACTTACAAGCTGAACCTGTAGCAAGTACTGTCACTGCTGTTAGCCACAACAGCTAGGAAGCTCATTGTCTCATAATGGGCAAGTGTCAAGTTTAGCAAAAAAAATTTAAATTAACTTGAATTAATGAATCATTTTTAATTGGTTGACCCATCCATCCATTGTATACCTGGCTTGATGTCACATGAATTTAATTAACTGTATCATTAGGAAATATTGTTTTATGCTGTTGGGAAGTAATTTAAAAATGTGATGAATCATCCTAGGCCTATATGACAGTGAAAAGGGTAATTAACTATTTAATGTGGTATTAAAAACTATTAAATGTAATGCTGCAGGAGCCCTAATTATGCTCCAGTGATGCCTGATACATGCCCTGATCCTCATCGTGGGTGTTGTAGAGTCAGCTGGTTCTGACAATGACAGGCTGCACAGCATGGCCGCAGGCATTTTGATGAAATATTCAATGAAAAGTGTGAAAAAATGAAGCCCATGGTGAGTCTAAAAGGAGCAAAACAAATGCAGGTTCAGTTGCACATAATGGCCTTTTCTAGCTCCAGGAGTAAATGACACTACAGTGAGGTGTCCTTTGCTGACAGTGTCAGTTAGACTCAGTTCCAAAAACAAGTCAGACCAGCTGCTCACATGAAGAACTTGTTCTTCAGGTTTCGCTACTCGAGTCTTCGTACGACAGACAAAAATAAAGGAATCACTTCTCTGCAGGGTCATTAAACTACAAAGGGAACTAAATGGTTTGGGTGAACTGTGATTAGTAGACACACACAGGCACTGCAGTAACTGCTACTCATGATACTGTCAGGTATGGGAGGTAAGGTAAACCCTAACCCTAACCCAGAAAGGTCAAATAAACTCACTTTCTGTACTAATATACCAAAATTTAGTTTCATTTTTGATCTGTCTGTCTGTATAACTCTCTATTTGTCATAGCCACGGGGGGAAAGACACAGCCTGTCACACACACACACACACACACACACACACACACACACACACACACACACACACACACAAACACACCCACAGCAACTGTATTGTTCTGGGGACAAGTCAGTTAGATGACTGTAAGATAAAAATTCATGGCATGCGTTCTCTCAACAAACATGCCATCAGGTGATCTTGAACGCAGGAAGAAATGTTCCATCAATGCGTCATAAATCCTGCAGCATTAATGGTTATGTGGAGTAATGTTGAAGGTGACCGCCCCTGACATCTGTACTGAAGAAGATGAATTTCAGTTTTGATGACTGTTTTCCTTGAGTGTCACTGACAGTGTTTGACAGTCTAAAAGAATTATATTTTTCAGTAACTCACAACATAAGGTCATTATAAAGTTGTAAAAGTAACATAATAGAATTAATTACAGTTGAGTGTTCAAATGAATCCAATGATGAGCTCCTGTTTTCTCATTTGAGCACACTCACATTTCAAGGCCGAGGTTGAGCAAAATTGAGAGCCACCCAATATTGAGAACAGTTCACTTTTGTATTTCTAGTGCTACAAGAATTGCTAATGCTAGGTTTTAATAAACCTAAGTAGTTGTGAGTTATTTTGTTTATTTTGCTTTGGTTACTGTTAGTCACTACTACCAACAGACCACTGCTAAAGAAAATCTGTTAAACAGCTTTATGAGTCAAGAGTTTTTTTTATTCTTATTTAAGAAATATATAATATTATAATTTTTTTTAAAAGTAGACAAAACACACTGCCAGTGTCTTTTTTTTTTTTGAAGGCTTGTTCAAAACAAAAGAAATAAGTGTTATACACTTTGATAGCTTTATATTGAGAAATGATGTGAGACTCACACAACTGAAATGTATTACCTATATGGCCAATGCTGCTTCAATAAAAATACATGACTAAAGATGTGAGATTTTTATTTCATTACTAAAATGTAAAAAAAAAAAAAAAAAAACATGTAATGATCTGGTTTTTAAGCTTTTCCACATAGCAATGAAAACAAAATAGGTTAAGCTGGTGAGTTTGGACTGGTTCCTATGACAGCTGTTGCCACGCGAACATAGCCTGTCAGATGCTCAGGGGAATATTCTGCAGAGGGAGACTGTGTGTGTGTGTGTGTGTGTGTGTGCAGGTGCATATGAGCCATACAGTCAGTCATGTGTATTTCACCAATGTATTTGAATGTTAAATTTCATTTGTTGCTTTTGTGTGTGTGTGCGTGTGTGTGTGTGTGTGTGTGTGTGTGTGTGACAGATGCAGGTGTGGGACACGGCAGGCCAGGAGAGGTTTCGTACGATCACCCAGAGCTACTACCGCAGTGCTCACGGCGCCATGATTGCCTATGACATCACGCGGCGCTCAACCTTTGACTCGGTGACCCACTGGATCAAGGAGGTGGAGCAGTTCGGGGCAACCAATATAGTGTTGGTCCTCATAGGTAAGAGTGGATGTGACATGTAAAGTGAATGCATGAAAACAGTATTTGTCTTTTTGTCTGATTTGTGCAAGAGAGAGGAAAAAAGAGAACATGTGAGAATATGAAAATGTTACACCATTTAGCCACACCATTAAATTTCCTGTGACTAGTGTGAGTAGTTGTAGGGAATGTGTAATGTGCCTGTCACAGTTGTTGGAAATCACCTGATGAGTTAAGCGTCTCTGTGAACAAATAATGTCTTTCTGGAACACACAGAGCTCCCGGGAGGTCGTCAGAGGTGACTAAATGCTAATAAGGTAGTTAGATGCTTTTAACATAAGTGGCATGTGTTTGCAGCAAAGCCTAATATTTTTGAGCACAGGCTGTGCACACGTGTGCAGAATGCTGGGCGCATTGCACCTGCACAGGGAATCCCGATGGGTTTCAAGTCCAACGCCTTAACCACTCAGCCGTCTCAGCTCCTTTTACGCTTAGTATGGCAATAATACGCAACTACAGTGCTTTACCATTTGCATGGAAAAGGCGTCTTACTACTCGCTGTGGATTTGCAAGTGTACAATATACACCTTGTGGGAACCTGATGTCTAAATTGTTAGCAGCCTTTCCGCTTAGCACACTGCCAACTTGATCAAGCAGCACATCATTTACTTCAATTTTTTCATCTCTGCATAATTCATTTTCTAACTTTAAATGGAGCTTATTCCTTCAGTCGAGTGAGTGAATTTACACACAGACCTGTATGTGCTACAATGGTTGTGTGATGTGAAGTATTGGACTTGAAGTGGATAAATTTTATGTGAGTCAGTATTACACTTAAAAATATATGTTTGCATGTCTGCATCATGTACAGGACTGCATTTACATGCAAGTACGTTAAGGTGTTGGGCTTAGTATGTAAATTATGTGCATTGATAATAAAATGAAATACAGTGACTCCTGTTAGGTGTTTACAGTGATCTTGAGGTGTTGTGTCCATGTCTCAGCTCTCTGATTGTCTCTATCCAGGTAACAAATGTGACCTGGAGCCGGAACGTCAGGTTCTGTTTGAGGAAGCCTGCAACCTGGCAAAGGAAAGAGGCGTACTAGCTGCTCTCGAAACATCAGCAAAGGTGATGAGTGTGCTCACACATGTAAAACGCAGAAGAGAAGTTTTTGACTTTGGTTAAAATTTGTTATCTGAACTTCTCCATCTCCCCCCTCTGTGTGTAGGAGAGTCAGAACGTGGAAGAAGCCTTCATGATGACGGCCAGAGAGCTGCTGTCCCGTAACGGCCTCAGTGTCCAGCAGGGAGACTTGGAGAGCACGCCCCGGGTTCTCCTCCGGGCCAACTCTCGGCCGGTTAACGGCGTCGCGGCTGCCTACACGCCACCGGAGAAGAAGTCATGTTGCTGACACAACAGGGACGATAAAAAAGTGTGGGACCGCTGTTGGAGATTAAGAGCTGTCAGCGGATGAGGAAGCAGGCGAAGGACACTTTTTAATCATGAATGTTGGAGAAGAGGAACGGACGATGCATAGATGTGGATTATGGCCCTCAAGAACTGAGGATGTTTGAATTGACGAAGTTATAGCAATTATTGGAAAGTATTGAAAAATCAACTCAGTGTACTTTTCTGTGAATTATCTGACATGAGGAGAATTAGAAGCTTGTTCATCTGGTACTGCAAAGACAAGAAAGTCAATGCTTCAGCTAGACATGCTTAGCACTGACAGAATAAGGGCCAGCGGTGAGTGGTGATGGGTGTGATCAGTGTTGTGGTGAAGCTACAGTAAGCCAATCTCATTCATATCAACTATATCTAGATGTTTTTTGTTTTTTTTCTCCTCCAGTTAATGTCACATATGCACAAACCGCTGTGAGACCGTTACCTATTGTTTGACTTCGCACTGGCATAAATAATGGAAATCTGAATGTAAAGACGAGAGCTTTGATAAGGCAGTTACCGCATAAAGTGAGCATTCCCAACAACCTGCTCACCAGCCTCAGCGATGTTAACTTTAACACGCCCCAGTCAGTACAACTAGAGCACAAACATTTCCGTATCTGCTTTTATCTGGAAATATTACACTTCTTGGAATGCGTTTTGTCGAAAATGCTGTCCCCCATGCTTCACTCGACCGCCGATGAGACTTGAAAATCTGATCCGAGCTGTGATCGTCTGCTGCTGCGCTCTGGGTGAAACCATCCTGGAGAACCTGTTACAAACCAGAAGGCTGTGAATTAAAATGTATTTTTTTGTTTGTGTTTTTTCTACTTTCTCCTGTGAATGTGTTGTAAATGGATTCTTTCAAATTCTGATCGGATCACGTGATGAAAAGGGTGGCATAAAAAAACTTCAATTCATCTTGGGTTATTTTCTCCAATTCTCTTGAACTCTACTGAAAGGATCATTTTAAGAGATATTCCCTCATTTTGTGTGTTGATGATTGTGGGGTGGGGATTGGGGAGAGGGGGGTGGAGTGGGGTGGGGTGGGGGGTGTCACCAGTCCAAAATCTCATCCAACTCGGTTGAGATCTGGTGACTGTGAAGGCCACAGTATATGATTCACATGATATTCAAACCAATAAAAGCCTTCAGTGACCTCATACCTGTATGTGGGCATCTGTATCTGTTATGTATCTCCACTCGTTCATGCAGGTTTTTTGTTAAACTGTCACCCATCTGTATGAGAAGTGGCTTGAAGGGCTGGGGACGGGGAGGGGGGGGGGGCGCTTCATTGTGAGCACTAGAGGGCAGTGTGCCCTTACACATGAATTCAAAACTGCAGGTTGGATGCTCATTTCCAAGACAATAAAGATCAACCTAACTTAAAACATCTGCGACTGCTCTAAGTTTACATGCAACACAGTAAACAAAGAAAGGAAAAAGTCTAATCAATTCTCAAGTCTGAACTATGCCAAGCCGACTTCCTGCAAACACAACAGCCAAACTTAAGTAACTAAGCTGACAGGGCTCCCATCCAGTATATAAACTTAACTTCTAATGTGGTCTGTGTTTCACTCCTTCGGTGGCAGTATTCCGGTTTAACCACATCTCAGGACACAAAATATGTGTCAGAGAGGGAACACGGCAATTGGCTTCCAGAAATAAATAAATAAATAAAAAAACAATCATCCACACAACTTCACCAGGGCTCATGTAATGTCTGAAGCAAAAGTCTGACAGGGACAGACTCAAAATTTCCATCGTCATTACTGTTTGTTGAAGTCTGATAAGATTTGGTATGTTATGATTAGTTGGCACTCGGCAGATTCCCAGTAAAGTATATGGAACTTTCATGTCCTCATCAGACCAGTGAGTCACTGATGATGCGATACATCTGCTTCCCATGATACGGCGGCCAACCGGCGGCCAACAAAGTTCACTTACCTACCTGTTTGTCTTCAATCACGTCTCTGTATCACTTAGTAAAACACGTTTTCAGAAAAAATAAACCCGATTTTATTTCCAGAAAACAGGTAGACAATATCATACATCAATTATGAAAAAAAGGACCAAAAACTACTAGTTTATCCTGAACTCAATATTGAAATTACTGTAGTAGAAAAAAAGAGAGCACCTGCAGTTCACTGTGTGGGGAAATACAGAGACATTTTTGTTGGGGTTATTAGATCTGATACAGACTGGATTGAGAATGTTCTGCAAAAAAAAAAAAAAAAAAAAAAAAGATAAAACAAAGCTCAAACAGCATTTCCTTAACGTTTTGTTTAAAGGTAAACTTAGCAATATGACATTGTGACTAATGTTCTGTTGTCATCCACACAAAATGGGAAACGTTTAAAAAGACATCAAATCAAATTAAGCCCAAAATACATTTTTTTTTATCCCAAATTTGTACTTCTTCTTATCACATTTTTATTTGAACATTGAATCACTGAGTCTACCTTTAGTAATCCATTCTTTAGCCTGTCCACAGACCGCCTTGTGGCGTATTTCGTAAATTTCCCTCCAAACTAAACCACACCAGTCCACTGATCCACCTCCTCTCTAACTCAGCCGGATGATCTCAAACTTGTTGAACTTCTCTCTCAAGGGCCGAGGCAGATGCTCACCCTGGTCCTCATCCGTCTCCCCCACCTCCTGCGCCTCATTGTCCGACCCTCCTTGTCCTCCCTGTCCTTTATCCGTCCCTCCCGTTTGTTTATCCTTGGGACATTCCCCGTTGTAGGTCTTGACGTAATCCTCAACACGCCAGCCCCTGAACTCCTGCGGCTCTGAGCAGATCAGGCCACTGTAAAAGACGCCGGGGTGGTGCTTAAGCCAGTAGATCAGGTAGTGGATGTTGTAGTCGCAGATCCACGGGTTGTTGCCCAGCGAGAGCTGCCGTAGGAAGTAGAGGTCTTCCAGGACACCATACTGGAAGTAATGGAGGCTGTTGTTGGACAGGTCGAGCTCACGGAGGTACAGCAGGCCTGCGAATGCAGCTGGCGAGGGGGGAGAAAAGAAAATAAAAGAAAATGAGGTGGCAGCTCATACTGCTGTCTGAATACATTTTTTGGGGCCTTCCAGGGGCAACACAACAAGCTGCATTATTATCACCTAATAAAGTTGTTGTGGTGTACTTGTTAGCAAACAGCTGCTTATTTACACATCCTGCAGACACAAAGTAACATTAGAATTCATTTGGAGTTGTGTGTCTGGCTCCCTGGTGAATGTAACTCCAATCTTCAGTCTCTTTTTTTGCTTTTTTTTTTTTTTTTGGTCTCCACCAACTCCTGAGGGAAATATCTGGCTCTTTAGCAGCTAAATGCTCCACTTTCTTCACAGGGCTAGTTGTTCATTTTGGAAGCGTACAGTGGTGGAACAGTTGAACAGAAAACCAACAGACCTGAATTGTCATCATTTTGATAATAAGACACAGTTGTCTCTCATAGAGCTCTCCTTATATGGATGTGAACTCAGCTTGGCGTCAGGATCATCAAAATCTAACTAACCTGAGTTAAAAAGGTGACTGTTGACGTCCTTAAGAGGTTCCAGACATTGTAAGCAGTCTGTGTTTCTGTGTTTGAGTAGGAGTAATGGGACAGTGGAGACTGTTTCACGCTGTCCACTAGCCTTGGGCCCAGCTTTGATCTTTACAGGGTGGAAGAGAGGAGGGGAGGAGGAAAAGAAGAAGAGGAGGACGGGAGCGTGAGGAACATATAGAGGTAGACAAATATGGTGAGAATAAAGGCATCGCTGAGAGAGACATGAAAGAAGAGGAAAAATGAACACCAGGGACCCGAGATCCTTCCGGTTTCCATTTTAACAGATAAGTTACTGCTATTTCATCATTTGACCCTGAAGATGACACAGATAGAGGGAGCTGTAGGAGGGGACGGAGGAGGCTGACTCTCCCAGATTAGGTCGGTGTAGTTTACCCAGTGTGGACTACTTTCATGGTGTTTTCCCAGGCAAGTGTCATCTGCTTGCTTTTCCAATTTTGGCCTCTTGTCCTACAGTCAGCATGAGATAATGCCTGCTCACATTCTTGCCAGCACCTCTATACTTTATACATTATGTGTCATTTGTTTGCTAAATGCTAAGTTTGCAACCGTTGGACAGAGCCAGCTAAATTTGCCATTTCCCTCTTTTCAGCCTTTGTGCTAAGCTAAGATAAGCTAAGCTAAGATAAGCTAGGCTAATTGGCTGCTGTGTCTGGCTTCATATTTACAGTGCAGACATGAGAGAAAGCAAATAAGTGTTCTAATGACCACGCTTCCCTCTGCGACATGTCAGTTCTTCCATGACTGTTCTTTCCATCTGCTCTTTCAAACCGTACTTTGAGACTACTGTCAATGTTTTTGTCATGGAATGAATTCAAGCAAAGAGAGTAATCTCCAAGTATTTAAATCAGCACTCCCACCAGGATCGCAGAACCATACAACGCAGCTCCCACTGAGGTTAATGCTTTGAACCCTGTCATTAACTTTTCCAGCTTTTAATGTACATGCTTTAAAATTCTCAGTGCCAACAAAGAAACAGGCTGAATGGCATGAAAACATCCAGTCCAGTGCTGCTTAATTTATCATCTGACGGACGTGATAAATTAAGGTTTTACCCCTCACCCCCCAGGGTTTGCCTGAATCTGGGCCGATCTTGCCTACAAGTCTCCATAACAAATAAACACAATTTTCAAGTCTTGAGTCACCATGACTACAGATATGACTGTTGCATAAGTCACACTATTAGATGTTCCTTCATTGTTGCTTCACTTACAACAGGGAAGCATATTAAGAAATGTTTTTTCTGCAGTTTGGAGTTCCAGGAAGGTGGAGTCCCCACAATTCCTAAAATGTCAAGTTATTAGTCACAGGGCATGTGCATAGAATTGACCTTCAGACATACTTTACTTTCCTGTAACTCTAAATTTTATTGTTTTGTGTATTTCAGTGTTGTCCTGCCTAGAAAAGCCGCAACAATCTGGCACAAGAATTGGCCAAAACAATGAGAGACTGCTTCTACAAAAAAATAAAACCAAAAAACGCATCTACAGTACTAATAATAACCCCAGCATGCCAGGGCCTTTGTGTTCATTCATTTTTCTTTCCCTGTCTGGCCATCCTCCACATGAAAAGCCTAAATAAATAACCACATGAAAATGATTATAATCATTTTTTATTTTACTGAATAAAAAAAAAAAAAATGAATTAGGAGGAACAGCCATGAGTGAGACCATATGTCACCTATCACAAGCTCTCAGAGTAACCCAGAGTGTACTTTCAGTTTTTAGTTTTAGACACACTGGGGTGAGCTTCAGTAGATTGCAACATGTGTTGCAGGGTAATGAATAAAACTACAAGGTTTTGTGAAGGATTTCCCTCCTGGGCAGGAAGACAGGACCCCAAACATCATAAGTCTGGAGAAAGTAATGAGTCACTTTTTTTTTTTTTTTGTGGTATTGCTTCAATTCAATAAAAATGACCGTTCAGATGTAAAATTCACCAGAAAAATCCCAAGATGAGAGGAAAAAGATTTTCTCCCACTCCTACTTCTATTGCGTTGATCAACTTAGGAACCTAAGATTTATCTTGAAACCCCTGGTAGGGGTCTTGACATCCAGGTTGTGAACCACTAGTTTGTTTCAGTTCAGCTCATTTCATTATTAAAGTTATATGGCAATGTAGCAGAAACACAAGTGATGTTAAAACAGTAGTTTTTAGTCTTTTGACATGTATGTTTGCGTGTCCCTGTTATGTGATTTTAACAAACACCTGCTAGCCAATCAGAAAGAAGTATCTCAAAGAGCCCAGATATATGTTCTCAGGTGTGTGTGAGGTTACAGAGGGTGGTGCTCTTTTGTTACCTGTGTCTACACGGTGCAGGCTGTTGCCGCTAAGGTTGAGCAGCTTGAGGTCTTTGGACAGCAGGAACTGTTTGGGCCTGAGATGTTTGATACTGTTACTGGACAGATCCATCTTCACTATGTCAGACGGCAGGTCAGACGGGATGTGATTCAAATCTGCAGGGGGAGAAAGACAAGACAAACATAAGGTCTTCCACTCTGAGAGCAGATGGAAGGTAGCAAGAGAGTTGAGAGGAGAGAGAAAGCGCAGGAGCGTAAAAGGTTAAACTTAATACTCAAATGAAGATAATATTTCAAATAGACAGAATGAAATTCAATGCAAGTATTTATAACACAACAAATAAAGATGCATGTATGCCTGTTGATAGTTTTAAAGGATTGAGGCAGATGTACAGAGCACACAGTCTCAGAATCAGCTGGAAATCCAATCTGTCTGCATCTTTATACATTTTTCAAGATGTTGTGTGGGTTGTGTGTTTTTGTGTTTTCAAGATTGAGCCGAGTGTGACAGCATGGCTAACATTATTTCACTTCTGTGCCAGGGAAGAGTGTTTCCGCTCTTTTCCAGTGTTGTGTTCCCAGCCTCACACACACACACACACACACCTTTTCCCCCCGTAAGAGTGTCTTTGAAAACTCTAATGTATGAAACAGCCATTTCCCACATATTCCCATCTCGATAGTAGATCCTCTCTGGAGCTTTAAATCAAAGTCCCACGCTTGAAGCACATTTCACAATTGCTATAACGCCACCACAGTGCTGGGACAGTTATAATGAAGATCTGTCACTGCCAACAAAATTTTATCCCAAAGATAAACACAACAGAGAAGAGCTTTAATCTTGATATGTGGATCTTCTCTGCAGATAATAAATAGAACCAGATTCATGTTAAGATCGTTATTGCACAACTTCAACTTCTGGGATTTTTGGCTGTCCGATCAAAACGTTTTGGAGTCAAAACCTTTTTATGGATTTTGAATGATGGTATAGTTCAGCAGTTGGTCCCTGCAACCTGTATCATCGAAACAAACATGGGTGATTGTTTTTGCAGCAGTTTGGAAAAATGGTTGCAGGTGAGAGGAAACTGAAGCGCGTTTAGGCAGTGTATACTGACTGAGACATAATCAAACGATCTTTTCTCTGACTGCTTTATTTCCTCAATTTAGGGGAAAAAAAGTTGTGTACAATATGCGTGCGGTTGAGCATTCATGCATACATGCATACATGCATACATGCATGTGGACTGGTTTCCTGCCTGTATTTATTTACACAGAAGAATGCTTAAGGACATTTTTATAGTGCAGATGTTGCAGTCTTTATGCACACACTTTACTGCCACAGATGTTGGGGCAAGTTATCATGAAGGCATGTTGCCATAAATCACCAGCTGAGATAATATAATTGCACAGACAGACAGACACACACACGACATGCATATACAGCATGCACATACACCACCAATACACTTAGGAAACGTGTTATTATTCTTCAGCGTGTTGCAGTGGTAGTTGATGAAGTGTGCAGCAAATGCAGGAACAGACCTTTTTGGAGGCCGTGAAGTTTTACATTACAAGCACTGAGTCCTCCACAGTGAGAACTTTCTTCTGAGAAGTCCAAAGGGAATCCCATCCTGCCTTAGGTGTACTACATATGTCTGCAACTTTGTCCAAGCAGATTTTCAGATGAGGCAAAGCTGGGGGAAAAATTCTGGCATAAACATCAGACTCAAATTCCCAGGCTTCCCTTTGAGAAATCAGTCAGACTTCAAACTTTTTGAGCCAAAAAAACAAACCCTCTCCATGCAAGAGAGATACATCTGTGGTCTGCGGTGTGTTTTACAGTCTAATGAGGATAATCTCCTGCACTGTGTCCTCAGCTGTGACAGTGGGTTAGGACTGGGCAAGTGGTGTCTGTGACCTGGTGGACCTACAGTATGTTCCTCTGGGTAAGAAAAAGCTGAGGCAAAGGTAGAAAGAGCTATTCTCCTCTTTATCAGCTTGATTAGCATTGCTTCCTGGAGCTAAATGTTTTGCCAGGAGCTCATTATATCAGGGGTATCTTGTAATTTTTAATGGAGCAAATCTTTTAGATAAAGTGTTAGGCTCTTTCCTACTTTAACATCTGCTATGTGCCTCTACAGAGTGGACTGCTGAATGAAGGGAGTGAGAAAGAGAGTGAACATGTCAGGAAAAGTGAAAATCATTCAGTCATTACTGGTCTAGGACTGATTTTTTTTTTTTTCTTCTGAATCTGCTGGAGTCATTACTTTGGAGCACATGTGAACATCTGTCCCTCTTGGATTTTTCTGTCCAAAAAAAAAAGAAAAAAGAAGGAGAAGAAGAAAGTGCTTTGTGCTTCATTACTACCAAGTTTTAATCCGGACAATTACCTGTTACATTTTTGTGGGATTTCATCATTTATTCTTTGGCATCTAAATTATAGCACCTGCTTTAAGTCAAAGTGCCAGGCTACACTTACTTACTGCAGCAGTTGAGTCAGTCATTCATCAAAACATCCTATGGAGGTCCCCTTATAAGTAAAACACATATAGGCAATGCATTAGTGTAACAAATGTACTTAATACACAGCAGTATTAACATAGTTTAAATGGATAGAGTTAAACTATTTCCATGATTTAGAAGCTGTGCAGAACATTAATCTGGACATTTATCTATATACTGTATCCTACTCCAGAGGCAATGGGTTAGCACTGCTGATGATGTATACGAACACATAAGTTACGAGTTACGGGAAAAAAAAATGTCAGTGGTCTGGTTGTTTATCCCTCATTTCCTCACCATTTATTCCATGAAATGTCTTCCAGTGGTGCTATTATTTATTCTCATTTTTGCAAAAGGTGAAATATACAGCTACATCTGCAAATATATTTCGTTAGAGCATTAATACTGAATCTGTTTGGAGCAGATGGTTCGATATGTTTCGTACTGTTTGGACAGTAGAAAGGGAAGCAGTTAATTCTACTTTTACAGTGTTGACATGATTACTCTGTGGGTCAGCTGTGCGTAGTGCAGTGAATTTTGTGGTTTGGACCCACTCCCCAGACTTGACAGGAGGAGTCTTTTCTTAACAATTTTAGGCACTAGATGTGCTGCATGGTAGCAAATAGGTAGCTGTGAATGTGTTCATATTTGCCTTCCTCAGTTTAACTATATTTCATGTGAAGTCATTTGAACTCCAGCTGCTAAACTGCATGTAAGACTAGAAGTATAATGGTTTCCGAGGAAGGACAGTAGGTTATATACAGTAGAGTTGCTTGTCTAACATGAAGACATATGCAGCCTGGGTGATAATATCCTGTTTACTATTTTCATCATCATCCTCATACACAGGCTAAAGCAAAAGCCTGAACATGGTTGGGATCTATTCATTTATGTTTAAGAGAAGTGTCAAGTTTCCGTGTGTTTCTAGGCTCTGGGTTTTTTTCACGTGAGTTATGTTTGGGCTTTATGCAATATAGATAAATCTCTGTCATCATTCCGGCAGAAGATATAGAGGCAGAGGTAAAGCCTTTTCTAAACATGCTGACATCTTTGTTTATATGATTTCACTATTACACTATTACAGTGTCATGTACTCCCTTATGCTGATAGTGTAGGGGGGTTAAAGTCATGCTACATTTTTGAAAAAAAACAAAAAAAAACCCGGTTTCGTGCCTTACTGCTTTAACTCACAGTGACAGTCAGCAGCTTAGCACACTGGAAACTCACAACAAAGCACATACATTAACCCCACCATAAAAACCACATTATGTCATGTTAAAAGATGAGATACTTAAATACGATAAATATTTTGTGAGCTTTATAGTTAGCTCTTGCTTCCAGCTTTTATGCTAAGCTAGGCTAATTGGCTGTTGGTGGTGTAACAGTTGTATCAATCATCTCATCTGGCTCCATACATGAAGGTGATCATGTATATTTCCCAAAATTTTGATCTGTTTGTTCACGCATGGGAACAAGTGTCATCTTTGCTAACATAGTTACAAACACAAATATGCAATCCTTGATTTTGTTATAGTTCCCAAAGGCACTCCCTAACAGGCTCTTTGAAAAAAAAGTTTGATTTTATTTTTTGCACACATAATCTTTTTTTCTCTTTCTACAAACCAAAAAAATGAATAAATAACAGAGGCTGCGTCCCAGGACTGAGCGCTTTGGGAAGGCAAAATCCCTATAAATCTTAGGCTGGACAGTGGAGACAACCACCTAGCATAACAATTGGTTTCTCTGGAAATTCTCAGTAACTCATGGTCTGTTTTCAGTGACCTCTTTGCCTCTGCCTGAAAAACGTCTTTGGAAAAGTCTAAAGCCCAGAAGTCGAACATAAGTACAGTTCCCAAACTACTGCAAAATTTCTTTGCATCTGGCAGAGTCTGCAGCTTAATCCTCCTATTGTAGAGAGTGATGTTTGATACTGTTGTCTTTTTTCATTCATGCTCTCTACCTCTGTGTATCGCTCAAATGACATCATGGAAGATACATTTTTTCTGCTGACTAACTGCCCACTGACTGTGCGCCAGGACGTCCAGGGAGAGCCTGACATAATATCATGCATGTGGGTGTGAGTGAGACTGGGTAGCAGCCAACACACCATATACAGTACATGAGTCACTTTTCAGTTGCCATTTCAAATGGTCTGAAGTTTATATGGAGGATTTGTGGTACTTCTGAAACCTATGATTTCTTGACCTTATGAGCACAGTCTCGAAGGCAAAGTCTAAAACCAGGCCAAAACAAAACCACCCTGTAGACGGGTTTCTGAGCAACATCATGTGTGGAGAAAGAAAAAAGTTGATTTTGCATTAATATAACATATCAGGCAGAATGAGGGGACTTTAATCACTAATTTCATATATGCTAACGTTACTTTTCTTTAAGCTAATGTTAATTTTGTTAAGCAAATGTTACCTTTTTATGCTAATGTTACTTTTTAATGCTAATGTTACCTTTTTCATACTGATGTTACCCTTTTTATGCTAACATTACTCTTCTTGAGCCAACGTTACTTCTTTTCATTATAATCTATAATCTATTATGCTAACGTTAGTGGAGTGGCCTAGTTAATTCATGCTACCTGTTGATAGATTTGGACACGTCATTTCTCGTTCTCACATCTCTCACAGCTCACTTCATGTGGCCTTTGTTAACATTATCACTGCCCCAAGCTTTACTTTTGTAATGTTGGCTAAATTAGCTTAAAAGTAACTCCGGTGCAATACATCTGATGGTCACATCTATATTTATTGTAGCTATATGGTCCCTTACAAGTAAAATAAACCAGAAATGTGCCATATGTTGAAAAAATATACATCTAAAGAGTAATTTCACTGGTTTTCAGGATCTGTATTTCCAAACACTGAAAATATTACATCGTGGCAATAAGGTGTGTAAAATCTTTTATTTTGAATAATAGCTTCACTATCGGAACTAATTCAGAATAAATACAATTTTGGAGTTCAACAATGTGTCCACTGGATAGAGGGGACATAAAGAGAAGTAATTTGAAGGCATATTTTGATACTACCACAGACTAAAGTCCACATTCCATCCTTGAGAAACAGAGCCTCAAGAGCTCCCTTATTAACTCTGACCACTCTGTATCGCATTGATCTCCAGTAAGCATGGTGTGGAGCCTGAAATCTGCTGTGGTTCACCTCAGAGAAACCGTCTTTTAACCAGAGAAAGGGAGACATGCAGACTGGGGACAAAAACAGGGAGAAAGAGATCAACAAGAAGAAAATATAGGGTTCATAGACCTAGAGATCAGAGTATGTTTCCACCCATTTCATGCTGCCTGCTTTCTTTTCAGTCCCATGTGAAAGAAAACCATGTTCCCCATTTGTTCCACCTCCAGACACTTCAACCCTCTCCAAAATTTCCTTTCACTTAATCACTGTATTTTTAGATCATTGTCATTCTGATATTTAATTCATCAGAGTGGCTGGAGCTGGCTGAAGTTAATTAGATTTTTAAAGCTGCCAGCCCTGCAGCTGCATTACATGGCATGTTCCTGTGCAAGACTGGATTTACCAAGCAGACAAAGTATACACCTGCGTTGGGACCCCAGGCCAAGAGGGGCCTCAAAAGCCCTAGGTCCAGAACATTTCCTTTGGTTTTGGTCATTTGATTCAAAGCAGATTTGTTTGCAGAGTATTTGCACCACTTAAAGGTGCCCTATGGTTGTCTTGTAAAGAAATCAAAGGTTATGTTTACATTCAGCATTTCCTGCATCCTTGAGGTCTAACAAATGTGTTCTATGGATTTTTCTTTTAGTGCGTTATATTGTACATTGCTTACATCGTGGTTGCTTTCTCACAGTCTTCTTCTTCATGGCCTTTTGTTGGTGTATTTTTATGTTTGTTGGAACGTTACCGTCACCAACTGTTCAGGGCAAAGACCCACGCATAAAAACTTTGCTTCATTGTGCTACTGATGGTCAAATTCCCCACAGGGAACCTTTTAAGTACAATATGAACCAAGGAAGTTTAGCTTGTTTTGTATTTCTTATAGAGAAGCCCTGTGTCAAACCACAGTTTTATGAGCTTTATTATTTTCATTTATATTGTGTTCACATTATAAATGTTCCTAATAAAATTGTGAGATCAAATTACTACTAACAAATCACAAGTTATAGAGTTTTTCCAACATAGGAGTACAGTTTGCAGTGAATTTAATGAGAACTTGGAAGCAACATGGCACATACACACTGCACAGGGGGCTTTAGGTAGGGTGTCAGTAAGGGGCAGACAGAAAAAAAGATTGCTTTGTGGAACCCTAATCAGTTGTTTTCTCTTGTGGCTGGAGAGGTAATTCATTATGGAACATGGAGAGAACAGCAACGCTCTGATTTTCTCAAGCGACTCCACATAATCTCAGAGAGACAGAGGGTCTTGAGAAATAATTTATAAGAGTCAACTTGAAGAATGTAATATGCTTTTGATTATATATTGCATTAGTTGGCCCAAAGTTCTCCAGGCCATATCATACCACAGCACACCAAACTCTGCCAGCATCTGTAAGTGTTTAAGATCATTGAACGGACCCAAAGGGGCTAGAGAAGAAATAACATGAAATGATCAATTTATCATAATCTACCTGTGATTAGATTTGCACTGTGATTGACAGCTAATACAACCAATGCAACTAATGAAAACACTAATGCTGGAATCCAGCGAAGTGAAAACAACGAAATGAAAAGACACTAATCCTCAACTGGTTTCAACTTACAGTCGAACTACATGGGTGTCCTTGCAAATCAAAAGCACAGAAGACCATGCGCTGAATATCATGCAAAACAGCTGCAATATATTAGGCAATAATCACACATCGCCTTCGTGGTGGGGGCATGGATTAGAAGGAAGCAGGAGAGAGAGAGTTATTATCAGGCATAGAAATGATGCGGAGAGATGGGTGAGAGAACCAGCCTGTGAGAAAAACAGAGAAACCTTATAGTGCCTCAGATAAAGAATCGATTCAAAAGTCCTACTGTAGAAAAAAAATAATAATTAGGAAAATATGCGAAAAGCTTCCTCGAGCATTTATACAACACAGACGCTGCCTTGTGTGGCTTTGGCTTGTCGATTCTCTGTGAAGGATGGCTTTCTCCGAAGGGCATTAGCTCTCCATTTTATAGATGCATTCAGTTCCTCATGTAAATCTGGGAGCTAACTTGGTCTCAATCATGGACACAGACAATCTTTCAGTTTAGGGTGCTGACAGCGGATGCTATTTCAGAGGAGTCGTGTTTTAGTGCTTTTTAAGAAGATAAAAGGATAAAGAGGGGGGTGAAAGGGAGAAGATGAAAGAGCAACAAAGTATAAAGAGCCCACATAAAAGTAACCAAGCGTGAATTCTCTGCACAAATTCAGAAATCGTCATTTCTGCTTCTTCTGAATTGCAACAGTGAAACAAAAAACAAAATGTTTATGTCGCCCCGGGGAAGTAACAGCTGCAATGATGGCAGCTTTGAAGTGGCATTTTTTACACCCAGAGAACCAGATGTGAAAACTGGAGGAGCTGAAAGAAAGTTGGAGAAGCATTTGCCTTCCTTTATCTTCTCCAGATTGATGTATGCTTTTTAAAGTCTTTTCTGCAGAATTCTGCCTATACTGACTCAGGAAAAACACAAACAGATTGAGATGCTGGTGGTTGTTCCTGTCTCCTGAGATCTCTTGCAGAACACAAATCTGCAGGAAATTAATAAATGGTATGATTCAAATTAATACAACACAATGGTGGCGCTGCAGTCGTAGAAATCAGAGGAGTGTGCAACAGACCACACAAGATCGCAAACACGTCAAACAAATGCAACTCATCAAAAAGCCTCAAGCATCATAAAGTGAAAGAAGAAAGTGGTCTTTGAATATAAATTAAACCCTTGAACCAAAAGCTGCCATGTGCCACTTTTACAAAGCAAGAATTTGAAAGAACAGACCGCGACCAGCCACAGCGCCTGCTCCTCCCCTCCCCCGTGAGGGTCCGGGCGCCCCATGTGGCAAATATAATGAAGAAACACAACTGGGCTTACTCAGCTTGTTTGCAACCAAAACATTAGGCAGCAAAAGTAATTCTTATGGCCAATTTCACTGTATATGCAACTTTCAACTGGAGAGTGCTGTACAAACCTAACAAATACACCTTTTTATACAAGACATTCCTCTGACCGCGTGGGCAGTCTATTTGTTGTTTTTGTCACACGTCGTAGCCACTGAATAAATAGGAAACCCTGACCCTTCTCTGTGGACATAATAGCTACTGGATTTCTAGAAAAGATGAAAGGGCTAAGGATTCAAACTAGTCAGCGCATGTGTAATTGGCAGGCTGGATCATCAGAGTTACTACTATTCTTCCTGAAGGGAGCATGGACGTCTTTCATGGCAGATATTTCACTAAAAACCAAAAATGTTGCTCGAGGAAAAGTCAGAGGATCACCAAAGTCTACGGAGCCATGTCAGCAGCAAGTACCCACCCACACAGATACTGTCTTAACAGTGTGCTAATCCTTATCAGGTGCCGGACAGGTTGTGTGTTATCAGTTATTCTGAAACAGCATCCAAAATGTGCGACCTCTGCTTCAGATGATTCGACTGCATTTCAGCGTTAACATGACACAAGATAAATTCAGATACAAACTTGAGATTCTCTCACCTTTGCTGCTGCAGTCCAGCAGAGGTTTCGGGAACATGTAGGTGTGACACATAGACGTGGCCTCTGGCTTCACTTGGAATGGTGGAGGACGTGGTCGACCCCCACCTCCACCCCCCGGCCTGATGTCCACCTGGTTGTCATCCACACACAGCGAGTCCACGTTCAGCTTCTTCAGCTTCTGGCCCGTCAGTAAAAGAGGCTCCGCACACTTGGCGTAGTTGCCCAGGTTGCGGCTACTGGGTATCTGCAGCTTCCTGACCAGGCTGTCCAATGAGCACCCGCAGCTCCAGGGGTTGTCATAGAGACGGAGGTAGGTAAGGCGGGGCAGAGGGAGCAGGACTTCCTCAGAGGCTGTTTTCAGTCTGTTGTGCTGGAGGAGCAGGGTGGTGAGCTGGGAGAGGCCGCTGAACGCTCCGTCCTCCACCATGGAGATGTCGTTCTGCTGGAGGTCCAGGCTCTTCAGCTTGGTGAACTGAGAGAACATGTTGTCCCTCAAAACCTAAACAGAGAGATATGAACTTTAGGCTTTTGTGTTTTTTTTTATTTTCTGCAGTGTACTGTTTGAGTAGCTGCCAACAACCTTGGCTAATATGTTAACTGTTGACTCTGTTTGTAATACGAATTGATCCAGCTAACATCGACCGTCTGCGTGTCCCAAACTTCACACAGCTTGTTCCTCTGAGTAACAGAGCTCCATTGTTATAAACGCATGAGAGGGCTACAACGTTGCACTGGCACATGTGTTCCTTCGTCATGATGAATACGTGCACTGTATTTTAAATTGATACCACAAAGACTGCCCTGCTGTAAATACTCACTAGTGCACCAAATGTGTATTAATCCGCAGCTTAACATAGTCCCCAGCGAAAGCATTATTTGATCTTATATGAGTAGCTTAAACAACAGTACCTGGCTGTTTTTTTTTTCAATGAATGTTTTTATACTTTTATGAAAGTATGTATTTGTCATCCCTTGTTGCTGAGCAACACACACAGGGGAGTCAAAAGGTTGAAAGAAGGTCTTGTTTGCGTACTGAAGTCAGCAAATTGACAAGCAAAAACATTCATGTATTGTGAATAGTACACTCTTTCATCCAGTGGTTCATTCAGTAATCATCTAATGGAGAGCACTAAATACTGGCTTCCAGTGATGAAAAGCTGTCTCAACTACTAAGTGAATTTCTGAAGTCATTACTGCGCAATCAGCATCCTATCTGGCCAGCATGAAGCGCTTTTAACAAAAACAAACATTCTTGCTAGAGTTCTAATATTCAGCTCTTTAGCTCATAAGTGCTCCACTGTGTTCACCAGCTGGTCCCTACAGCTGTTTGGTGTTTTGGTGCTTTACAAAGTCATTTCACCCATTGGAAATGTGAAAGTATGGCTATATTGCAACTTTAAGAGCAAAATGCAGTAATATTCCATAATATACATTTATGCAAAATCCAACAGGGCCAAAGATGCAGCTAAAAATAAAACAAAGCCCACTTTGTTCATTCTTTCCCTCACAACTCATTTATTCAACGACCCAAAGTGAAGTTTAATTACGCTATTATTTTACCGATTTGATCAGTGTTTATAACTCATTCGTCCTCATTTGTTACCTCGCTGGCAAAGCATTTGGCTTCGTTCCTGTCAACACCTGTGACACACATCCTGTGTGCGCACTCAGACATGCAGAAACCTACACACATATACACACACGGGGTGGAAAAGTGTGTCTTTGATCTCGAGACCAAATGAATGGTGCACAGATGCTCGTGGCATCAACAACCAGGCTGGGTTTATGCTCAGAGTTAGAAGCTTGAGACACTAACTGTTATGTAAAACTCTACAAGGCGCTCTCAGAATCTGTTAAATATCATTAGCAGTGTCTTGTGTCCAACTGTGGCAGGTGGTCTGTGTCTCGTCTCTTCTTATTTACACTATGCAAGTGCAAACTGTCTGTTTGTACCTGAATCTTATTTCTTGCCAGCAGCAGGTGGTGAATGTCTTTGGGCCAGTCTTGCATCACGGTGGTCAGCTGCCTGTCCTGACAGTCCAGGTACTTCTCTCCCGCCTCCATGTATTCCTTACACTCCTGAGTTTGACGCCTCATGACCCCCGCCCTGCCTCTGCCTCGCACACGGCCCCTGGCGCCCCTCTCCGCAGCCCCTGACCGAGGGCCTCTCCGGGGCTCCGCTGACCGGAGGAGCAGGAAGAAGAGAAGGGTGGTGAGGAGACGCATGATGTGGAGAGGAGAGAGAGAGAGGAGGAGGAGGAAGGGAAGGCCTCTCGGTAATCAGGTCAACCTTGGAAGATTGCTGTCGGATGTATTGGTGTGACTGGGCCGGTCACAGCTGTGTGTATGAAGAGAAAAACAAAGGGAAGAGAATGACAGCCATGAGTGAATTAAGACCCACAGCTCTAGCAGTTCCACATTTTTCCCCTGAAGCTCTGAATCTCACCCCTGTCAGTTTATACGGGATGTGGGACATCATTCAAAGCATTATGGGATAGTAGACAAAACAGGACTGACCAGCAGCACAAACACAGGAGGAGGTAAAATAGCACGTTTGCCTGGAAGATGGATACATTTATGCGTAATAGAGAGATTAACGGTAAACAAATGAGCATATTGGTAGGACACAGAAATGATGCACGGATAAAACGTAAGAAATAATACCTGAAAAAGAAAAAAAGGGTTGTATATTCTGTTAGTGAGACTCACAGGTAGAGAGAATCAAGTCACAAACACAATAAAATATACAGGGATTTCTCTCGCTTGCATGTGGAGACATGCTGACAACTGAAATGGTAACAGTGCACATGTTGAAAGAGTTAGTGGAGAGGTAGAGCGAGCGGTGAGAGAGGGAGAGGAAACAGGAAAAGGGGGTTTTGAGGGAAAGAGAGATAGACATTTGTTACATGTTAACATCTTAAGGGTTAAAAATGTGCTTGTAGTAAAAGTGCTGTTTTCTTTCTGGGATGTTTTCTACTACCGACGAACCAGGCGCAGACGTTCTCTCTTCCTGTCCCCCGGCCATCTTTCTAAACACGCCTTTCCTCTCTACCTCTCTGCGTCCTGATCTTATTACATCACTCTAGTCCACCTCTCTTTGTCTCTCTTTCCTCTTGTCACATGTTGCTGATTCCGTCTCACCCTGCTGTCATTATTGATTACTTCTCCTTAAACATCCATCCACCTGCAGGATGTTTACGCTCGTGTGTTTACGGGCGCTTATGTGTTCTATAGGATGTATCTGTTTCTATTTGCAGAAAAAAAACTTGTCCCGACCTCACTCATAGCCTGCCACCACTTTGGTTAGGATATGGTTAAAGTTTAGGTATATGCTGGATTATTCCTCACCAAGAAATAGTGACAGTTCACAACCTGCTGTAAAACATGAAATTATCATTTTCTACTCTGCAGTCAGACTGCAGAGCCCGACTGGCTGTTTCCTTCTATTTCAAGTCTTTTATGCTCAGATAACTGGCCACCGGTTGTAGCCCTATAGTTAATGGTTGGACATGAGTGGTGCCGATCTTCTCATCTCATCACTCAGCAAAATCAAATAAGCAAATTTCCAAACATGTCAATCTATTGTTTCCAAATCACTACCTGGCTCTTCTATCCTGATTTACTGCCTGTCTGTACGGCCAAACTGGGAAACTATCATCAGCCACAAATATGAAAAGTTCAAGACTGGAAATATTAAAATTTATAGCTTGATAATGATGGGGATTGTCTTTTTTTCTTTTTTTTTTGCTACACAACCACTTGTTCTGGACTCCCTGCTCTTCCTGATAATTTTAAATATGTGTGTCTGCGTGGGTGGGTGAGTGTGTGTGTGTGTGTGCAAGTTCTATGGTAAAATAAGTGAGTCATGGGTCCCTTGTGTGATCGGAGGCAAAAGGGCAAGGCCCACAGCTCTGCCAAGACGCAGTGCACACACACACACACACACACACACACACACACACACACACACACACACAGACACAGAGACACACATGTGCACACAGTCATTCCAACTGTACCCAACCACAGCCCCCTTACAGTCTTCCAGTCTCTCACACAGTGGAACAAGCCTGTCAATGCAGATGGTGCCGTTCCATTGTGAATAACAGACTGGGCATGTTAGTGAGCTACAGGCAGAAACAGCTGAGAATGTATCTTTCCAGCCCATTGAGCGCTCCTCAACTGTCACGACTATCAATCGACTCCAACGAAGCAAACAAAAAAAAAAGTTTGATTTCCTCCACTGCTGTAATATACTTCTAGTGAGCTGTTACTCCGAACCCAACAGAAAGTGAATGAGCCGGTCCTCTCAGCCCCTGTCTGTCAGTGTGCGCAATACTGTGTCTGTCTTTCTTTTTTCCCCATGTTTACATGCAAGGGATGCCCTTTATACATTTGCGTGTGTTTGTCTGTTCGTACGCTCGGGTTCTGTGCGAGCACATGTTCTTGTGTCTGCGTCGCATGATCGCGCAGCTGATGAGGGACATGTTTCGACACAAGGCGGGACTCGCACCAGGCCAAACAGCCAGAGTAGACTAGACTGAGGCGTCTTGAGTAGACCCAGACACATCCTCCCAGGCTAAGTCGTTTGGTCTGGTACAGGTGATTGATAAACACTACTGTGACCCAGCTGTACCAATAGTCCTGCGCAGATCAGTGGGTAAAGCATTAAACACACTCTCCAGTGCATCATAGCCACATCCGCCAAAATACACATAATGTAGAAAATATTAGGGATGTACTGGTGACAAATTAAAGGAAAAACCAACAGCGTCCACAGTGTCTTTTGGCATAGACTTTCCAAGTTTCTGGAGCTCTGCTGGAGGAGGAACATAATTCTTCCCCCCGTGTGGAGTTTTTGATTACTGTCACGGGGAGTACTGTCTCACATCTTGCTCTGAACTCTCTCACAGGTGTTTCTAGGTTAAGATTTGGTCACTTTGAAGGATGTAGTATACTCTAATGACGTCTTTCAGAAAACAAAGTGCGTTTCATTTTTCTGAATTTACTCACATCACTGACAAAGCCTGTCTTGTGCCAGTATAACATCTCATTTCCAGCTGTAGAGGTAAGAGAATTGCATGTTACAGTGCACAAACGCATCTGGACTGGTTGTGCTTCGCTACGCGTTTGTTCAGGGTTTTTCTTTATATTCCTCACCCCTCTGAAAGGTTGGTTAAAAAAAAAAAAAGGATGACTAATTTAAGTGCTTTATTTAAAAAGTTTTAAACTTACAGCTCCTCCTCATGTTTGGAGCATGATGATTCCATGACTCCTTCCCTGATCCCTAATCAGTTGGTCCGGTGCTGATACTGCTCAGATATTTTTCCACATCACAGCTGCTGAGCAATGAAAGTTCAGCCCCCTGTTAGAAAACTACAGCCACGGTCAGCCTGCAGTATCCCAACACACATTCCAGCTGGGACCATAACATACACACTCAAGCCAAACCCATCCCTGCGGTTCACCTCATGCCCATACCAGCCGGAATTAGCCCCTCCAGTCTAGTATTATTCCCCACCCCAGCTCCTTCTGGTCAATCCATGCCAACCCAAAGCCGTCTCGAAGAAAAAACTGTCTCCCTCTGTCTATAAACATCCAGCATGGTGCAGTCAGATATTTCCTCAGGGGCATTGCTCTAAATACTTTAGGTATTGCTGCCTCTGTCATCTGTCCTGAACCAAGTTTGGTCTGGACATGAAATGTGGCAGCATCATGTCTCAGTTCGGACCCTGGAAAAACAAGTTTGTGGGAAGAATCTGGCCTTTCTGTTAAAAACAAGATGTAGGTGAGTTACAGATGACGAAATACAGCATGTCCATGATAAATAATGGGAAACCACAGATGAAGTATTGCGGTTATTATTCTTAATTTTATAATTCCTCTTGGGCCAGCTTGAGGTTTTTGTTTTTGGCCATGGCTCTAGGGAGGGGACTGTCAGTTAGCTACACCACTATTTTGGTCCAGACTTAAATATCTCGGCAAGTATTGAATGGCTTTCCAGGAAATCTTGTAGAGACACTCCCTATGCTCCTTATAACTTGATCCCTTGATTTTTTTTTTTTTTTTATCTAGCGCCATCATAAGTTAAGTTAAAATGACCACACCAAACATTATACCTGCTGAACATCAGCATGTTAGCGTTGATGTTAGCATTTAGCTAAAAGCACTGCTATGCCTAGTCTTGACAGAGCTCTTAGTCATAGTAACAGAAACTTTGTAGAAAGGTAGATTACAGAACTAAGATCACTGTCTATTTTAACATGCTCACTATCCAGCTCCATCATTTGAAAGTCATAATTTAGCTTAGCTTTAGAGACATGGGGTATTATTTGACAAGTATGATGTTTTTATTGTCTGAAGACCAAATGAAACAGACTCTCAGGCTGAAAAAGTTAAACAGATTATCCCATGAATCATATACTTCATGTAGTGCCGCGTGTGGCTGACAGTTTTATCGGTTTGTTCACAGTAACCTGCATGCGAACAAGAGTGTAGCTTAAATACCTCAGGGTCATTCTGTTAACAGAAATGCTGTTATATTGGGTGCTAATTATTAGACATTTTATTTTTTGAAATCACGCCCAGCTCAATTTTCAATACTTTTCACATTTCAACCACATGAGGTAGGTTTTTTTTTTTTTTTTTTTTTTTTTTATTTTACAGGGAGACCACAATCGGACAGCACTGCCAGAAAACCCCCCGGAGAGAAATGTAGTTGTAACAGCGAGTATGATTGTGTCATCAGTTGTGATAGAGCTCCAGTTACCGAACAGACACTCGACTGCTGGGCAAACTGCTGAGCAAACGGAAAAAGTTTTCATTTGGTAGTTTGCCTTAAATCTTTCAAATGGTTTTTCAAACCAAAACAATTTCGCTAATCAGTCTTTTAGACAAGGAAGGGACGGCAAATACTCAGCACCAGTGTGCTCTCAATCAAAACAAACCACTGAATAAATGCTTTAGTTAGTGTGGAATTTGTTTTGGTAACGGGGTGCAGGGAGTGAAGACTTGAAACTCCAACTCCAACTGCATATCATGTGTCTTCATGCTGTAACAGCTTTTTTGATCCTAATACTCTGTATACAATACTGTAATTTGATGGGAGAGAGTGAGAGATCAACTAAAGTGATTCAGTGACTGCATGTACAGTAGCACACCACTTACATTATAATGATATAAAGCAGGGTAGTGAGTGTTGCAGTGAAGTATAACATGTAATTTAACCAGTTGTAAGGAGTTCAGTGCTGACAGAGGAAGTTATACCACTCTGCCCAAGAACCAGAGGTCAAAGTGCAAATGTGCGAATGAAGCACCTCAACATAACACGCACATGTAGACACATATAACATAGTATATTACAACAGTATATTCATACAGATAGACAAAAGGGAGGGACATATACTGCAGGTGTCCATACAGGGACAGTGAATGGAGATAAAAAAAAATAATTAAAAAAAACACACAGAAGAGCCACACCCTGACGCTGTCTGTGTGTCTGTGTGTGTTCTCTGAACTGTCTGTGGGTTCAAATGGGTCATTTGGCCTCAGCAGACCGGAGGAAACACAAACCGGTTGGCCTCGAACATCATCCCGTACCACCTACATCAGGAAGAGGGGGCGAGAGAAGAAGACTCACCGACTCGAGATTAAGAGAAATACAGATGGAGGCAGTTTACAAATTTGAAAACCATTTCCCAAATAATGTTTCAGCGGAAAAAAAAAAAAAAACCCCCCGGGGGGGGGGGGGGGTGAAAGACAGAATGGAGAAGTAAAACCAGGCTCAAGACAGGATTAATGTTAGACGTTGAAGTTGCATGGGAGAGAAAATATCATGATGTCAGCTAAAGGGAAGTTCCTCCTGGCAAAAAGGGAGAGACGGATTTGTTTGGTTTCAGGTGACACCGCTCTGCTTCTGTTGTTCTAGGAACACATGAGCGGCCGAGGAACAGAGGCAACAGCACATACGGCGGACCCTGTCTGATGTAAATTTGCGGGTCAAACTACAGAATCGCTTTCAGTTTTGTGCACTCATAAAAATCAAACATATTTTATGCATATTTTATGGCTCTGAATGGTCCGAGGCTCAATCCGGTGGCACGACATCAATCCCCCTTTTTTTTTTTTTTTTTTTTCCACCACTGCAGGGACATTACATAATATGTGTTCTTGGCTTAACATATACACATGAACATGAAGAAAAGTTGGGTAAAAGGGCACTGCACACTTGACTTGCAGCATTAGGAATAAGCGAGGTCTACCTATAAAAAATCTTATCCAACACTTATCCATGTCAACACCACCCTCACCCGCAAAAACTTTGAAGCTGCTCAGTCTCTTCCTGCACTAGCTGCCCACGGAGGCTTTTCACGCTCCAATAACACTGGACAGGCCACTGGGGATGGAAAGAGTTCAGACCTCCAGAGGAAACACAGTGCAGAAACACAAGGGCCACTGTGTTGCAGGGAGAGAAAGTGAGAACAAGCAGGGGAGGCTGCGAAAACAAGAACGAGCCCTTTCTCCTGAGCTACTAATAGAAAAATGTAAAGCATTCAGCTTCCATCCAAGTTGCTTGCATAGATACGTGGAGGGAAGCAGGCGGAAAGTCAGTCAGTCAGTTGTTGCAGAAAAGACAGACAATAATATTGAGAGTTGAAACAAGGAGCGAGTTTATAGGTGAGTTTTCTCTGCCAGCTATAGCCTCCCAGTAAGCTCACCTTACTTTGTTTCCCTTGGGCTCAGTTCCCTTTGTGTGTGTGTGTTCCCAAATGTAACAGCCCCACCATGAAGCAAAGAGACAAAGAAGGACATAAGGAAAGAATGATGGCACCTACAAGGATGTAAGGAACCGACCCTAAACCCGACACCAGAGGACGAGACAGTGACAGAGGCAGACATATACTGTGTATGTAGAGAGCGAGCGAGAAAGAGAGAACCCTTACACATCCCTGAGAGCCTAATTGGAACCAGACAAGTTCATTTCTGCAGAAGAGGAGAGGCAAGACAGGGGGGGGGGGGAGTTGGAGAGACAGAAAATGACAGCTTGGTTTTTACCGGCAGGGTCAGAGGTGATGAACTCACAAAAAGACCAACATCTGAAAGTAGATGTTCGATGGAAACTATAGCCAAAACCGTGTGTCTGTGTGTATGCTCCTTTATAGTATACCCATGTGAAATCTGTTTTCTCCTTATTCTCCAGAGGCCAAACATACCAGCAAGAATAGCAGCTGCGCGCCTTGATAGAGGTCAGTGTCTCATGCACAGGCGTCTGCGCGTCCATGCAACTCCTAATGTGCTTTCAGCTGAGGGGTTATCAGCCATTGGTGTGGTCTCCCTCCCGGTTTCCTGGCTGCATCTACTCGTGCTCTGCAGCTAACTATGAGAACAATAACCCCCATCATAAAACATTAAACCCGGAATTACTGTTTTGCTGAAATGTGTCAGGTTTATAGAAAAAAATGAAGAGTTGGGGAAAGGTTTTATTTTAATCTTATGCAATATTCTCAAGAAATCCTGAGTGCAAACTGCTTCATTAGAAACAGGGAGTTAAAAAAATGTCATGAGATGTTTCACACACAGTTTTGTTTGCATTGGCGCCAGACACATCTGCACTTTAAACACACACACACGCGCGCACACACACACACACACACACAGAATTCTCCCTCCTCTCTTACTACAAAGTGTCCCACTTAAACTTAACTGTGGCTGCAGCTGAAACAGCAGAAACCTAAGTAAAAGGGTCTCTCTCACTTTGTAATCAGAGTAAACTTGCAAGTCAAGCTTTTTCTCCGCACACCCCCCCACCCCCTTTTTTATTTTGTTCGGTGCAGAATGCCAGAGTAAAACCGCACGTCGCTCCCTCTCTGCGCTGCATGAGGCTGGAATTTTTTGTGAAACTTATACAAGGGGCATGTAACTCCCTGTGTGGATGTACATACAGCTGCACACATACACACACACACATATGGACACTTGAACAACCAGCAAGTACACTGTACAAACAGTGGTGCAATACACCATGCAGGCATCCTTTAGAGGATTTTGAAATCTTGCCCATAAAATTTTGGAAATCTGCTGAAGATCCTTCTGGCAAAATCTCATAGCTGACACCAAATTCTCCAAATCCTATTTCTTTTCTTTTTTTAAAAAACATAGAATAGGCTGAGTATTGAGTGAACATGAGTCATTTGTTGGCCATGGCTATCCAGAGTTTCTTACTGTCCAAAGAGGATCCAAGTGGGTAAATGAACTCTTAGCTCTCTCTGCTGAGCCACACTGCCTCACCATGGCAGTGTTTAGTGCTTTTTTAGTTCTGGTGCATGGGACCTCCAGCCAATTACATGACAAAAGCATTAAGGAAGCATCTAAAAATAGCAACTAGCCTAACTCCGAGGGGAAATTAAGATTAATGTGAGGTTGCAATGACCCTCCGTAAACTTGGCACAAGTTGAACAACTTCAAATTGGAGTTTCATATGAGAAAAAGAGAGTTGACTTCAGCAACTCCTCAAATACAGAGCTGAAAAAAGATGCAGATCAAATGTAATGAAGACAATAATTCATTTCTTGTTTTGATTTTTTTTTCTATCAAACAGTACAATCCAACTGAGATATTGCATGTTATGCAACATTCTTGTGAGTAGCTCAGCTCGGTCCATTCATATCTTATGTTTCGAGAGTCATTGCGCTCGTGCAGATACCAATCCAATTCTGATAATGGACACGTGTTCTAATGTTGTGCTGCTGCAGCTTAATTTTAAATGACTTATCAGAAAACACAGTAAGTTTTCAGCATGGCAGCACTGCATTCATTCTTTGTCTATGAATTCACTATCAGTGCCTGTCTCCAAGGAACAAAGGGAAAAGCCTAAGAAAATGGGAAAGTCACACTTCTAGTAAAAACTTTAGGAAAAAAGAAAAATCATCCTCTGGTGGGTTTTATTACATATTATGCAACCTTGTAACCATTTCAGATCAAGATTAAAATAATATGCTGTGGGTTTTTTTTTCTAGCCTTGATGGAATCAGTTTTTATCACCAAGAACTAAAACTCTGGTGCCAAACTTTACTTGCCAGAAAATCTTTTTGAGTATTGAATGTTGTATCAGGAAGGATTTTGGGGAGGGGGTGGGGGGGGCGCACGTTTGCTTTCAGCTGCAGAATCTTTTGCCGATAGACAGATCTGATGGTACAATGTGAGGGTTTCAGTCCTACCTGTGCAGGGAGAGAATCTGGCTCGGGCTCGTCCACTAGGACCTGCAGATCTCCGGTTGGTCCCGCGTCCCCGGCTCCTAATCCTGTCATGAGCGCTGCGTCCAAGCCAAGAAAATCCTGCCTGGCTGCCTGTAAATTTAGAGCCCGGAGTGAGGGACGAACGACTTGCTGCTTCTACTCTCTCTCTCTCTCTCTCTCACTCTCTCTCTCTCTCTCTCTCTCTCTCTCTCTCTTACACACTCTCACTCACTCTCTTACTTTTCACCCACTCAGCTGGATCGCACTGAGAGTGTGAAGAGAGAGTCGGAGAGAGAGAGAGAGCCTGCAAGCAAAAAAAAAAAAAAAGAAACTCAAAGGATTCTCAAAGCTGTGTCTGGTTTAGCATTACACACACATATGCACCGCACGCACACACACACACACACACACACACACACGCACACACACATGTAGGAGGGCTGCAACCTTGCACTGGTCGCCTCTGCTAAACCAATGGACTTCCTTTAGGATATTCCTGCTAATTGGCCTGATGGACTCTGAGAGCATCTGGGTGGCACTAAAAACACTGCAAACACCCATGTGGTTTTTCTGTGGTGTCATGCTCCCCAGCAGAAGGGAAAGGCCTTGAGGATGTTAATTTTAGCAATTTTAAGTCTGGGTCTACTTCCAACATCTGCCTTTGATTGCTGTTTTGTTATTAGGCCTTGGATTGCCTTTCATTTCTGCCCTGCTACTTTTCAGCACTAGCTAACAGCGTGGCTCTGGGAATGGCTATGGCACTGTCAGTCTTGTTAGTCAGCCGGCCCAGCGCTATGATCCATACTAAAAACATCTCAACAACTATCGCGGAAAGTGACCATTAACACTTAAATCCATGATCCCCTTGAAGCGAACGGGGAAGTTCGCTAAATCATGACTTCCAAAAAGGATGAAACGAGGGTAGTGAAGTGTTGATGACGCTCGTACAGCCACAGAGCCGCTAACACCTCTGTGGATTTATGCTTAATCGGGAATAACATGGTCTTCCCATTTGTGATTTTGCCATTCAGTTCTGTATCACAAGTTTTCAGACACAGATTTATTCAAATCCCTTTCATTTCTTTGACATTTATGATAAATCGGATCCAGCTTCCCGAGGCCTCCTCAGAGCTAAACCCTGTGTAATTGCTTTGCACTGTAGTACATCTGTATATTTACTTATGAGGCACTGAGGATTCCCATAGTAGCTGGACATTCCTTACCACTTGTTACTAACATGAACCAGTTGTCCACTGTGACACAAAACAGCTCCCATGGGAATAGTTTTGACAACTAGTAAAGGGCATTCTGTGTAATTTTATGGTGCCAGAAGACAGTGATCCTGATAATCAAAATACCGCTGCCTGCTCCTTCTCTTCTCTTCTCTTCTCTTCTTTTCTTCTCTCCTCTCTCTCCTCTGCATCAACACTGAGAGAAACAGCTCCATATTAGGACCACCCTTCTGCACCGTCCTAAATGGATTGTTTACTGCCAAACACTTGAGGGCACTTACACCAGAACAAGTGTTTTCGGTAGACAGGAGGGGCCGAGACAGACACCTAGGGAGTTTTTCTGCAAAGTCTATAAAACAGTCAACCTGTCTGTTTAGCAGCAGATAGTGAACATACAGTAGTCCCACCTACAAACACGCAAAACACCTACTGTACGCACACATCGCAACACTCTCTGCCTGTGCCAGTGTGTGCGTGCGTGTGCATGCGTTTGTGGGCACCTTGTTAAAACGCTTCAAGCACATTCTTTAAAGAACCACATTGACCTTTGAGCCCAATGCAAACCTTTTAAGACGTTTTTACGGCCTACGTGCACTGTATAAATGTCTAAATAAATCTTAGAAAGCAAAACGTGCGAACAGGTCCAATTCAATCAGACAAAGCAGTTTCAAGTTTCATGTTTATGCTTTGTTATGTCCTTAAAAACCCAATATCTTTACTAGATGACATAAAAAAAAACAAACAAAGTTTATTGTGTCTAAAGCAAGTTTTCAAGCCGCTGCACTGAAATGAATGAGAACCAGTGACTTCCTTGGAAGTAGGAAATTCAACTAAATGCGATTACAATGTATTCTAATTGTATGCTTTGGAGACTGGTTGGCAGTTATGTAATGTAAACACGAAAAACTGCCCTCTAATTAGGCCAAAGCTGCATTTCCTCCGTCTCCAGCCTTCGCCACAGGGAAAACATGTTGCGCACGGGGGCTGCAGTGCTTCCCTGCCTCAAGAGTAAAAGAGCAACTCCCTAAATCCTGTCAGACAGACTGCAGACATCCTCATTCCTTTAATATCTCTGATTCAAATGACAGTGTGTATGTGAGAACGGTTGCTCAATGAGACAAAACCTGCGGAGAATTATCACCCAACTCTGCAGTTTCCCTCTACTGAGCGTTTTAGCATCTATCTTCCAACTCGCTATTTCTGTTTTTCCGGCCCATAACGTTACTGCTTTGGTTCGCTTGCACGACTTGAGCATAGTTTCCAGCAGCTGTGAAAAAAGCTCTTATAAACCCACTCTACACCACCTGCCCAGCACCAAATGCCAGGCAGTGTCTATCTGGTGAACACAGAGGAGCATTTAGCAACTAAAGAGCCAGATATTTCCCTCAAGAGTTGGTGGAGACCAAAACGGAGCCAAAAAGAGAGTGAATATTGGACCAGAAATACAGAGATATAGGTTATACATAACGTTGTATTTGCATATTTACAAAAAATAAATCTCTCCATCACTACCTTGTCTTTAACTAGTGTTCAATCAAAAATAAAGTTGCTTTTTCTGCCCCTTGGCAAAGTTTGAAGGCTGCCTTAACATTAACCCAACAAGAAACTCCAGTCTTGCGGTAAGAGCTGCCTGCATGTAGCCTGAGAGGAAAAAAGAAAAAGAAAAAGAAAAGTCAGACATTAGCAGCTGCTGATGAAGCTTATTGGCGTATATTAACATTTTTATCAATTGAGAGCTTCTCTCTTTTGTTTTGAAGGTCGGACAGCGAGAGCACACATTTCAAAATGTAAATTTAAAACTGTGGAAGTTGGGGGAGACAAAATTTAGGGTTGTTAATTAAAAGTGAAAGAAATGGTTTGTATTGTTGTAAACCCCACTGTTTGATTTGGTCCATAAATGTTTAGTCAGCTAACTCTGATCCTCTGCGTCTGCTGTCTTTCTCTCTGGCTCTCTCTCTCTCTATCTGGCCGTCTTTCTCAATGTGTGCCTCGCTCCCTCTGCGTCTCTGCGTCAGTGTCTCAATGCATCTCTATACCTGGCCACAATCCACGATGTACTGGAAACACATTGGAACAACACATGTACACACAAACACAGCAATACAGACTATTTAGACAAACCAGATGACCCCGTATCTCCATCTGCTGTGGCTATAAACTCAAATCCCATCTAATCAAAGCACCATACACTGAATCCCTCTGATTCAGTCCACGCTCTACAGGTAATTGCTCACTTCGAGGACAACAATTATCAATCACTCGTTAGTTCAGGAAATCATGTCATCTTCTTTTTCCCTTTCTCTATTTTCTCAGTCTTTTTCCTCTGACTCTAACACTTACTCACTCTTTATCTGTCTCACTCTATCTTGCTGTGTGTGTGTGTGTGTCCCCTTTCCACTTCTCTTGGTGATTTATTTGTTTTGCATGATTTCTCTCTCTCTCCTTCCCCTCGCTTTGTTATTTTCTCCTCGGCTTCGCTGAGCCAGAAGACGGAGCAATGAAGTATACAAGAAAAATGGAATAAAACTTTGATCAATCCGTCGGCCCGAGTGTCGTGTTACATTGTTAACAGCTGAAACAGAAGATCTTGTAGTCGTGCATTCAACTGAAGAAAATTAACCAGCACAATCAATGAATCCTTGTATCTTAAGTCTGCAGGACCAATTATGTAATAAACTTTGGTGCTTGTTACAATCTCTGTCTCCGGGTGTCATGGTGGATTAAAGGATCATAACACAACAGTGAGGTGCAAAGACAAATGAAGGTTTGTTGGAGACAGAATAAATAGAAAGAGAAACATTAAGCCCATTTAAATAGGTGTCGAAGAAGAAAATTACACATCTGCCAGTAGTTCAATCTGCTGTAATGACTAGAAAATGACTTAAGTGAACTGTGTGTTTAGAGTAATAACAGCCATTAATCCAGTCTAACAGGAGGGCTGGAAGGGAGATTGTTTAGACACATTTTTATCATCTGCCACTGTCACAATTTGTCATCCTGAGTGCCACAACAGATAAATGAGTTCCATTGTAATGTACTGCAGGTCATCTTTCCTGTTGTGAAACACACTGGAATTTCTTTGTTTTACTTCGCCAGACAATTACAGGGGATTACAAAGAGCATGGAAAAATGGTAAATTTAAAAATGTGAGAAAAATATTACATAAATAAGAAGGGGGAAGATAATAAAACTGTCATATGAGAGTCCATGTGCAGTAGAAATCAAGGTTAAGATGAAAAGTGAGCTGGTCTAACATAATTTAAAGCTGCTTTAATCAATGTTTTTATATTAACAATAAATTGAACGGCTAAGTTGCTTGTGGTGACAAACCCACAGAGAATTATCACCCAGCTTTTTTTCTCTTTTAGCGTCTTTCAGCTCAGTGTTTTGTTTTTTTACGACCTGCAGCTTTATTGTTTTGGTTCATTCTCATCACTGCCATCAGCATCGTTTCCAAAAAATAAAAAGCTCCGATACCCACTGTGTACTACCCACTGATAAATGAAATGGAAGCATTAGCACTTATGCAACAGGGTGCCTTGTTATTGAATTCAAGAGTACATGTATCTGCATTGCCATCTGTTACTGTCATGCAGGAGTTCACACAAATCAGTGACAGAACCCATGAATCATTATATCAGTCCTTGTGTCAACTTTATAAGCACCAAAGTGGATTTGTAGTGCTTTTGCTGTTCCTATGTTGACAGTGATGAGTGTGTTGATAGCAGCTGTATTAAAAAATTGTTTAATCATTCTGCTTTCTCCTGCCCCCAAATGACCATCTCCTGTTTCAGAGTTATCACCAGAGCTCCTCTGCATAGC